TTCTTGATGAACTAAGAAATCACTTGGAAATATCTGATAACCTGTCAAATCCGATCTTTCTGGCTGGATATTTTGCTAGGGAAAACCAGAATTCTGGACTAGAAGAACAAATATTTGACACCAAGCAAGTTCATATATTTTGAAACAAATTTGGTAAGAGTTATACCAAGATTTATAAAGAAAGAAGTTGTAAAGAAAAGAGAAGTGAGTAAGGTTGAAGGCTAGGGGGAAATTTAAGTAATAAAATGGCAAAGAAAAAAGATAAATTTAAGACCTTTTGTATTGTGCTAGCTGGGAGAATAGTTTTCTCCTTTATTTAATTCTGAGTGAAGACTTTCATTCTGTTACTCAAAGATAAAATCTAAAAATAAACCTGGTGTTATTGCTGGCAGTGTTGCAGGACATGTAATTTTTTGTATATACGTTACTGTGGAGTGAGCTAAGAAACACAATATATTGAGTGTTAAAATTGCCATTAATTCATTGCCTGCTCAGGCAGTAATTTTTCTATGATCTCATTTTTTCTTAACTGATCTCATTCTTCCTTTTTGCTTAAATTGTCTTCATCTATAACAAGCATCTTCATGGAACTAATATTTACTTGTTATAAATTACTTTTTCAGTGTTTTAACTTTACTGTAGTGTTTACCAAATTGAGCTAATCTCCTTTTGCTTTGCATACAGCAATAGGCTTCTTTAACATTTATCCATTCTCATGTGTTAGGATAAAGACCTACATAACCAAATAAATAATATCCAGATTAAAAAAAAAAAAAAAAGGAGTCATAAAGATGTAGGACAACAATAGAAAATAAATAGCTAATTTTTAAACAATCAATCTTTTTAAGGGAGCTGGCTTGCAAAAATTTTTGAAAAATCACCATCTAAAACTTGGGTCCTTTGAATGTGTTCAGTTTGAATATCCCAAAATGGAAATGTTTGAGGAAATTAAACAGTGCCAGGGGACATTCTTGGGCATTGGGACTCCACCATTATTGTTACTGTTAAATTGCTGGAGCTGTCTTTGGCCCACAGTGATTAGCACTCCCCAAGCAATCCCCGAGCATGGTTCAGAGGCTACAGGAGGACAGAGATTATTCCCAGTAGACAGCTTGCATACAGCCACTCTATTTTAGCAGGAAGGTGAGTTTAATACTGTGGTGCAGGCCAGCTGGCCCCTGAGCTTAGCTCCTTAGACTTCTCTCTGGCACTGAGACCAGCAGTATAAGACAGCCTGCTTTTCTACTACTAAATACCCTGAGTTTACAGAGTGGTTGCATCCACATTGCTTATTAGGATGGGTTCCTGGCTCATGCTACTTCCCATATTGTGCCTGAGAATTGTTTGAGAAAATATTATTTGTCCTAGGACAAACAATACTAGGAACTGTTCTAATGATTTTACAGCCTAGAAGAGTCAATTCTAATGCCCAGGAAAACTCCCTGGTGCTGCTTTAGTTATATTAAGGCAATATAGCGTTAATTAGAAATAAGCTGAGAGGATACAAACACATTCTCTGACAGAGACCCTGGGTGGGTGAGCAAAGTGAAAGCAGTGTGAGCTTGGTCAAAGCCAAAGTAGGGTTTCAGGCCTGAGCATAGTTTGCTTTGAGAAAGTAGTAGAAGGAAACCTGCAGGGATCAGAGAAAATAATTTAATAAAATTTTCAGCTTTAGAGGAGATTAAGATGCTCAATGTGAAGTATTCTTTTAAGCTTTGTTTTATGTATCCCTCAGTAATTGGATCCCAGCTGGATTCTTCCAAATAGAACAGAAATTTTGTTGCATTGTTAATTTTGCAAAGGTGGTCTCACTGTAACTGCCACTTACAGACAAACTGGATATTGAGTGGAGGAGGAGAACATACTTGATATTGACTTGACCTTTCCTTCCCTTGCTTTGTCTCTCTTTGTCTTGCCTCTCCTGGCCTTGCCTTTGGATAATAAAACTCATACTGAGGGGTTTCTTAACTTTTGGATTGGCGATACAAAACCTCTGCTGACTTAGAAGCAGGTTTATGGATGAGTAGCTCTTCTTAATGAGTATGTCACTTTTCATAAGAAGAGTGGAAGGGAATGACTTTTGGGTACAAGAATGTTTGCTAAAGTTGTGGGAAAATTCCCTATTTAAAATGAGAGCTCATAAGAGGAAGAGATTATAGTTTGCAGGGCAAGTGCAAAAGTATGCAACTGTTAAAAAGGTGCACTGAAGGTTTATCTGAGGGGATGAGTATTCAGATCTGTTAGTCATTACTGATTGCCACTCCTCAAAATACTATCCCGTTGGAGTTTTGCTTATTAAAAGGGTTATATTTTATTTTTTGTGGAACCCATCTCAGCAAAATCAACTTTAATAATTACAAGGTTATTAAAAATCCTCACCAAGTCAGAGGACAAAGATTTTAAATACATTTTAATTTGGTAATATTTTGTATTGCTATGGATAGAATTTTGCTAGTGAAAGTAGTTTTGAACTATACTGTATTACATCCAGACTGAGATTTTTCTTAAGTAATTTAGCACAACGGGGTGTGTTTCTGGTAGTACTATCCACTAATGCCGTCCAGGTTTTTTCCCATCAAGATTCATGCCTCACTTCAAAATACATAACTGCGTCTCTTCAGACTACAAACCAAATCTTTATATTCAGATTAAAAGGATTCAACACCATCGTTCTAGTTTTGACTTGTTTTAAGGGAAATACAATAGCAGTCTTTTACTTTTCTCCCTTCTCTGTCCTTCCCCTCATATTCAAACACATATTTGTAGCTTTTTTTCTGTAATTATCTTTTTTCCTTTTTGCTCTACTCCCACAAATCATATCTTAGTGTTATTTTTGTATTACAATTGTGCTGGAACATTTCATGTTATATTATTAAAAATAATTAATAATTAGATATGCCACTAAGATAATAAGATGGAAAATAAAATAGTTAATATGTCAGATATCTGTATCTCATTAGATCTGGAATTTTGTTTCTGCTGAATTTGGCTTGCATTTCATATCCTCTGATTTTTAAAGAATCAGCAATCCAAGCATATTCCTACGCTTATGAATAAAGCCATACTGTAGACTGCACATGAATAAATCCAGACAGTCATTTTTATTGTCATCAAAGAGCATTTTTATTCTGTGCCCACAAATGTTCTTGGTAATCTATGAAAGAGGCCTCTGAGATTAGAAGTGAAAACAGGCATCTTTCTCACTCCTTGCCTTGGCAGAAGTACATGATTAGCATTCATCAGCAGTCACAAGTGAACTCATGTAAAGGCTCGTCTACAGACAGATGTTTTTGCAATTGAGTCTTTGATTGGCCCACTTGTACTTGTGCAGGATGACATGACCTTTAATTATATAGTCAAATACTACTTTTCCACGGAGCATTTGCCTCATTCAGAGCACAAAATGGATGAGATGCACTGGGAATTGAATTTAGTTGGGTAACAAGGGAGATTATTGCTTAGGGGTATCTCGATTTAGTAAGATGAGGATGCCACTGAAGTTTGTTGAGCATTCTTGCTACCTTTAATTTTTCAAGCCAGGCAGACAAATGGGCAACTAGCTGCTTCACAGGTTTATTCAAAGCCACAGGAGTTTAAGAACATGAGCGGACACACTGATTTAAGCCATACGTCTATAGTGTCCTGTCTCTGATGGCAGTCAAAAGTGGATGCATATGAAAAACTTTAAGGACTACCTGCAGGTGTTCCCTCAACTGCCACGCTTTTGTGGCTCAAGGATTTCCTAATCTGGAGGGTCTTTAAGGTAAATATTAAGCCTCAGTTGGTTTCTCTTCACCACCATCCCATTAAGCCCTTTAAAATCCTTTTAATCTTTTGCCATATACTGTCTTCTGTGGCAAGGCTTGTGGCTCACCTCCCCCTGCTTGCCTTAAGCCTGCCGTGTGCTGGCTTTCTGTGAATGGTCAGTCCCTCTCCATTCTCATCATGCAACTCATGCATATGTCTCGTATCCTTTAAAAAAAGAAGGATGTTGAGCAGAAGCCAGAGGATGTACCTGGGGTCCCAGAAAGCTTGTAGCATGCCCAGAAGGGAGCCAGCCTTCACTTCTGCTGTTACCCATGGTAGCTTGGCCTGCCCGCCTGTGCAGTTGTCAGATATAGACATACCCTGTGTTGTTTCTGCTTCAGAGGCTCTTGGTAAAAAAGACTGCTGATGGCTGAAATAGAAGATTTCAGGAAGTGTATGAGTGTTTTTTTAGCCAAGTTGAGCACCAATGTAGACAACAGGATTTTCTCTCTCATGCAGACACAGAATTTCTGTGTGATGCTGAGCTAGTCCAACAGATGAGACTTTTCCCAGATGTCCATTAATTATATGTTTGAAATCGTGGGGTTTGATTTGCAGAAGTGCTGAGGAGCACTCACAGCTGCAGCTGATGTCATTGAGAGCTGTACTTTGTACATTGAAAGTGCTGCTTAATGCCAAGTTCCCTGAAAAATCAGTCCCTTTACATCTCATGTCGGTCACTGCAATTACCAGATGCTTTTGACCTGAATTCCTTTGTTTTCTGTTTTCCCTGATTGTAACAGAGGACTGATACTACCCTGCCTCATCGGAGTGTTAGATTTCTAAGTTCTCAGGCACTACCACAAAAAGCATTGCAGTGCAGTCCACTCAAATAGTAACTATGTAATTCTGAAGGGGTTTCCATCCCCTGTGGGTTATGAGGTCAAAATCTCAACAGCAATGACAAAACAAGGTATGGCACCCGTTCCATTTCCATTAGTTACTCTGGGCACAAATCTCACCAAAAAGAAAAAAAATATATATATATACTGGTCATGTAACAGGCAAATTTTTTATTTACTGGAGGCCAAATTTATATTGCTCAAGTAGCCTTTGTTCTGGCATTTCTTATTTTTCCTGTATTTTCCCAGCAGTTGTCAGGGTGTTCGTTTAGAGAGCATGTTTGAGACATCAGGTCAACCCGAACCGATTCACATTTTTAAAAGCATTTTTGTTTGCATTTTTCCTTCCAGAAAATACTTGCAACAACAAACGTCTGGATCTCGTCTTCATCATTGACAGCTCTCGCAGCGTACGTCCTTATGATTTTGAAAAAGTGAAGGAGTTCATTTTAACCATCCTGCAGTTTCTGGACATCAGTCCTGATGCTACCCGTGTAGGTCTGATTCAGTACGGCAGCACAGTCAAACACGAGTTTTCACTGAAGACATTCAGGAGAAAGCAGGATATTGAAAGAGCAGTGAAGAGGATGATGCACCTGGCAACTGGCACCATGACTGGGCTGGCTATTCAGTATGCAGTGAACATCGCATTTTCGGAGTCAGAAGGAGCTCGACCTCTGAAGCAGAATGTGCCCCGAATTATCATGATAGTGACAGATGGGAGACCTCAGGATCCAGTGGCAGAGATTGCCACTAAAGCACGTAACTCAGGAATCCTGATTTTTGCCATTGGAGTGGGAAGAGTAGATATGAACACGCTGAAGTCAATTGGGAGTGAACCACATGAGGAGCATGTGTTTCTGGTTGCTAATTTCAGTCAGATTGAAACACTGACCTCTGCCTTCCAGACTAAACTTTGTGGTAAGGTTTTTTTCTATAGATTTGAATGCATAGGTGAAAGTAAAACACAGAAAAAATATGCAACATAATTTTTTTTTTTTGCATGGAACCTTATCTGTCAGAATATGTATATTGAAGAAAAGGGAGACTAGCCAGACAACGTTCAGAACAGCAGACGTATATATGGGGAGAAACTAACTCTACTGCTAAGTGCCATAAAATGTAATCTAATTTCTAGTGGTCATAAGCAGTGAGGCAAAACCACATATCATGATTTTCCTATTCATTGTATAATAGCAATAACTTTACAATCCTCTGCTATTTGAATATTAGATAAGTTGTTTCATCTATTGATTTTAAATGTGAACACCCTCAGTACTGAAACTTCAAACTGATAAACAGTCTTTTGGTTATTTAAATAATTCAGTGGAGTTCATGGATTCCTCTCCAAAGCTTACATATTAATTATATGCACACTATTATCTCTATACATGCCTTGGGTCTGGAAGTGAGACACAGAGACATGGTAGTGTGTTTATTCCATCCATTTTAAATGCAGAGTTAGGAAAAGTCATTACAGTGATATTATTCATTCGTACGATATATTTAATAATGTTTTAATAAGTATTCATTTACAACAGAGAAATCACCTTACCAGTTGTAATTCCCTGATAAGCAATTACCTTTTACAAATATTGTGGCATACATAATTCATTTTATTCCAATCTGTGTACTTAATATAATTTTCTTTTTTAGTTTTTCCTGAGATAAATATGAAAGATCTTCATACAGATTTGGCATTAAGCTGAGGCATTTTCAGCAGAGGCCAAAAAAAAGAATGCACAGTGAGATTGAATGCTCACTCATCTCTAGGTATGCTTTTGCCAGAAAAGAACTGAGGCTTATTGTCAGGATAGTCTGGAGAATTTTCCTTACTTGGTCTTTTCCCAGATTGTTTCAAAGAGCAACAGGGCTCCAGCTGAACTGCATCAGCACAAAACACCATCACAGACATTCATCAGATAATAGATTTTTTTCCTGTTTCTTTCTTGCTGTATTATTAGCTGGCATAGAAAGATACACTTAAAAACCAAGAAACAGTAAACTAAACATGGATTGAGAGTTTAAATAGAATTAATAGTAAATACTTCGAAATTTCATCTTACTGGATTTTCTTAATTGCATTTTAGAACCAAATCCAGTATAAATACCACCTTTTTTTTTTTTTTTTTTTTTTTCTGACTAGGCAGTGCCCAGTAAACGTATTAGAGTTTCATATCTCACTTTTAGTCCACATACATGTGATCCCCTATAAAATCACCCCTCCTGCAGATGGAGGAGTATGGAGGTGACAAGGATTGCTGCTGCCTCCTTTTCTCAGGGAATGCCTTCACAGCATTTGCTGTGTCAGGAATTGAAGGTGAGATCCAAAAACATACTTGAAAACCCCGGCCCAGATGCAACAGAGAATTTCAGCTGTTAGATTCTTATGGATTTCAATTTAAGGGACTAAACTGCAGATAGGATCCTTAATATTTTATTGAGTCTGACCTGTAAATCAGCATTCAGCTTGATGAATTTCAAGAGAGCAATCTAAGCATCCATAGTCTCCGTTTCTTAGAGCACCCATATTCCTCCAGTGAAACGTGGTTAGTTTTTTTAAGTCCTCCTCAGTGTGGACCCAGAGGCAATATTATTGTAGCTGAGTTGAACATCTGGACACCTTTTTTCTTTGCTAGAGCAACTGAAAGCACCCCTCTGGTCAAGTCTTCTGGCATGCAGTCTGCTAGGCTTCATGCTGTGGGAAAATGCCTTGGCACCTGAGCTGTCCTTGTGTCTGAATTGCCCTTATGTCTGTGGGAATGTGTCTTCATGGTTCCTGTGAAGATTATTAACATTAACCACTGTTTACCTGTGGATGGCAGAGATTACCCAGTGCCTAGCAACTATATTCTCAGAAGAATCCGTATAAACCGTCAGTGCTCCATCGTCTGCTAAGTCAGACTTTCCCTACAGTTGCTGCCTCTGGCTGCTAAAGATTTGGGAGTGCCTGAAACAGCAGTTGAAGCCAGAGGATCCCAGGGACCTCTTTATTACCAGTCAGCAAGGTAAAACACAAGCAAACTATCCTGAGAAATCAGAGACATGAAGAATGAGACAAGAGTTGAAAACTCAGGAGAAACTGAAATGGGGACAGAATCCAGGAAAGGATGGGGACATTGAATAGAAGAAGAGTGAGAAAGACAGAAGCTGGGATGGAGCAGTCAGGAGCAAAGTCTCTATTATTCTCTTGTAAAGTAAATAGTGGTGTAATCCTCATTTTACATTGGAGAAACAGAGACGTAGAAACAGGGTTAAGACTATGAAGATTGCCCACTAACTTTAAATATTTGACTCAGTGCAATTCCTGGGCTGATTTTCTGGGGAAATTAGCATTTTTAGACTAATATAACATACTAGTCACAGCTCTGCAGTCTTCACTTGCAGCTGAAAGCACATTGCATTCTTGTAAATGCAGATTCAGATGTCTCTTGAACACAAACAGCATGATAGTTGATTCTTGCTTAAAGGTACTGATATTAATGTCTTCGCCAAAATCAAATAAGGACCCTGTGGCATAGGCAGAGATAAACCCTATTTTACAAGACTCATATCCAAGTTTCTTAACTATGAGATCACTCTTTCTATTACTTCGGTCCCTGTCAACCAAACACCTCCTGCAACAAGTGAGGTTGCAGAAATCTTACAGACAGCAGCCTCCCTCACCACAGAAATCTGACTGATGAGCAGAATACCAATGATTCTTTCAAATGGGTGCAACAGAGACACTTTGAAAAACATTTTATGTGATGGTATATTGGAAGATTGGTAACAAATTATAAAAATATATTAGAATCATAGAATCATAGAATGGTTTGTGTTGGAAGGGACCTTAAAGATCATTTAGCTCCATCCCCCCCTGCCATGGGACAGGGACACCTTCCACCAGCCCAGGGTGCTCCCAGCCCCGTCCAGCCTGGCCTTGAACCCTTCCAGGGAGGGGGCAGCCACAGCTCCTCTGGGCACCCTGTGCCAGTGTCTCACCATCCTCACAGGAAAGAATTTCTTCCTGATATTTAATCTAAGTCCACCCTCTTTCAGTTTAAAATCGTGACCCCTCATCCTATCACTACAGTCCTTGACAAAGTCCTTCCCCATCTTTCCTGTAGCCCCCTTTAAGCACTGGGAAGCCGCTATAAAGTCTCCTTGGAGCCTTCTCTTCTCCAGGCTGAACACCCCCAACTCTCTCAGCCTGTCCTCATAGGGGAGGTGCTCCAGCCCCCTGATCATCTTTGTGGCCTCCTCTGGACCCACTTGAGCAGGTCCATGTCTTTCTTATGTTGCGGGTCCCAGAGCTGGACACAGTGCTCCTAGTGGGATCTCAAAAGAGTGGAGTAGAGGGGGAGAATCAGCTCCCTCAACTTGCTGGCCACACTTGTCTTGATGCAGCCCAGGATACGGTTGGCTTTATGGGCTGTGAGCACATATGGCTGGCTCATAGTCAGTTTTCCATCCACTAATACCCCCGAGTCCTTCTCTGCAGGGCTGCTCTCAATCCACTCATTCCTCAGCCTGGATTTGTGATTGGGATTGTCCCAACCCGTGTGCAGGACCTTGCACTTGGCCTTGTTGAATTTCATGAGGTTCACACAGGCCCACCCCTCAAGCCTGTCAAGGTCCCTCTGGATGGCATCCCTGCCCTCCAGGGTGTCAGCCGCACCACACAGCTTCTTGGTGTCACTGGCAAACTTGCTGAGGGTGCACTTGATCCCACTGTCCATGTCACCAACAAAGATGTTAAACAGCACCGGCCCCAATACCAACCCCTGAGGAACACCGCCTGTCACTGGTCTCCACTTGGGCATTAAGCTGTTGACTGAAACTCTTTGAGTGTGACCATCCAGCCAATTCCTTATCCACCGAGTGGTCCATCCATCAAATCCATGTGTCTCCAATTTAGAGACAAGGGTGTCATGCGAGACAGTGTCAAATGCTTTGCACAAGTCCAGGTAGATGATGTCAGTTGCTCTTCACTTACCCACCAATGCTGTAACCCCATTTTAGAAGGCCACCAAATTTGTCAGGCATGATTTGTCCTTAGTGAAGCCATGTTCTCAAAAGGCACCGAGTTATTGGAATGCCTATCATTGAATGCTTCTTTTTTCTTTTTTTTTTTTTTTTTTTTCATTTTTTAGTACTCAGTTTTGCAACGTTATGTTCTTTTGCTATGGGATGACTGACTGATTTTGTAATAATGTTCTGTAGATTCACATTCTGTACCATTAGTACATGGTAAGATTTTCTGATGCTTTAACTACTGAAATTAGTATATTTTTCATTTGTCATATTTGAAAGTGCTTCTTTGGTCATAACAAGCTATACCTGATGTTGAAAGCTACTGAAATATAGCCAGGAGGAAACCTCTGTTTAGAAAGTATCAGAGGTCATAAATTTAATTTTCAGAATGATTTTTTTTTTTTCCCACAAGTACCACATTTACCACATATTAAGTTATTTATCAGGCTTCTGTTGTGGCTGCTAGAAGATTACTGTTAATATATAATCCAGAAATTTTGAGCTTTGTCAACCTAGCACAATAAGGAGCACATCAATCCCTAATTATTGTTGAGCAAAACAGATTATTTTCCACACAGTTTTCTCTGAGAATTCACCTATATAATATAGTAATTAAGTACAAGCAATGCTCCAGTGGAAAGAAAACATCTGGGAGATTTCTTAATTCCCAAATACTGATGTGGAGAAAAGTAGTTCGGCAATGAGTTTGACAGAATGGTCCCACTATTTTTTTTCTTTCTTACTGTCTCAGTCTGTTGCATTTTGCTACTTGGTATTAGAGACATAAGATACAAACATTTCAAATAGATACAGAAAGACTTATACTCTGGAGTGTAGCACAACTCAGCTCCCACTTAGTGAATCTTGGAGATGCATGACCTCAGTTTCATCATGTATTGTTTGTATGTTCCTCAACATTAGTAACTAAGCAAGCAAGATTCCTCATCAAGTTATTTTCTAGTCATTCTTTAGTATTGTGCCGTGTGGTGATTTTCTTCATTCAAGAAACTGAATGTCCTCTAGAACCATTTGTACATAAATTCCACTTATTTTCTGAATTTGAATGTGGTAGGTTTCTTCATTGTCTTCTTGAGACTATCAAGTAATTAGTGTTTCCAAATACTCTATTGTATATTTTTATTTTGTTTATATCTCCATTCCACATGTAGTTTCATGTCCAAAAACATGCTACCTATGTCAACCAGACAGAAAATATCTAAATTTCTACTTTTTAAGGATTTTTTTACAATCTTATAGGCATAAGCTTCCATTTTTGTCTTTACTGTGAAGACTTAATTTGAAATTTCTAAATTACTTCAGTAAAATTTTCTACACCTTTTTTTTTTAGTTGTGACTGCAAATAAGTAAGGCTAGCAGTTAATGATGCTTTACTTTTTTTCTTTCAGTGCCCCATATGTGCAGTACAGTTGAACATCACTGTGATCACTTCTGCATAAACACGCCTGGCTCCTATGTATGCAGATGTAAACAAGGGTACATTCTGAATGCTGACCAGAAGACTTGCAGCAGTATGTTATCTTTCTTAGCTTTCATGGTTTCTTAACTTTCATGCTCCCAAAAAGTACTGTAGTTTGTTTCCAACAAACTGTATTTCACTTTAATTGTGATCTTTATAAGCAGTATTTCTTTTGTCCATTTAAACTTGCTTCCTAGTAATTAACAGCAGACTACATTAGATGGATATGCCAAATTCATTTCTGTATCCACCATTATTTTAAATAAATTAGGTAATACTATTTTTAATTATTTGTGGAAAAGGTACTTGCTAAAAATGCAGTTTCTTATTCTGTGACAGTGCATAGATTCAAGTGAAATTTGCCAGACTGATTTTAACCAGAAGGAAAGTTTTGGAAAACATCTTTTCAAAAACTTGAGGAGACAGTCGTGGTGAGAGCATAAGATGTACCCCTCACAACTGATAATTTAGAATTAAGGTGAAGGATCCAGACTCAGATCCTATCCTTGTGTTTGAACTTGCATGTTCCACATCTCAGGAGAGTGCCATAACACAATCAGGTAGCTTGGGGTTAGTGGGTTCTTAGTCTCTCTTGCTTAGTGCTGTATTTTATAACAAATACTTAATGACCACTAAAACAGTGAGAGTATCTGAGGCAACTCTGCCACTTGGGGATTACAGTCCTTACATGTGCGGTGGGACACATGGTTTCAGTCAGAGCCTCAGTAGGAATCTGAACAAAAGAATGTCAGCACCAGCTTGATCTGGACATTCTTGCAGCTGCATGGAAGCATCTTGAGACCCTTTGGACTACAGCGAGAAACTGCTTTTGAGCTGTTCACCTCCTATGCTGTTGAGCCATGGGATGAGTTACTTTTAGGAACTTCTGTTTTCTAGTCCTTCTCCCTAGCATCTTTCACCAAATGTAGACATTTGTCATATGCATGTGTGTGAATTATAGGGGAATGTTTTGTGTAAAATGGAATAAATGTAACACTTTATTCATGGTTTTGTTTCCTCAAGAAGATGCAAAAAAATTAAATTCAATCTGGAATATTTCCTAGTTATTACTTGGTTTGGCAGCTGACCCAAGACAAGAATAGTGACAAGAACAATTTTTCACACAGCCTGTTTTCTCTGCTTCCACATTTTTGCTATAGCTCTTCAGAAAGTGAGCAGTCTGGATCCCAAATGATGGTTCCAACTATGCAATCACATTTCAATATTATTCTCTAACCTGTTCATATCATTGTGTCCCTCTTAAAATGCTTCTCGTTTAAAACTTTTGTATCCTTTAAAAGTTTCTTTTACACCCTCCTCATGCTATTACTTTTCTTAAATAATTTTAAAGAAAGAATTCTTTTGCTTTCAGTTTTCTGGAAATTATTTGAAATTAAAAATTTTTCTCACACATTTTCCCTATACTCACCCCTAACATCAGTTTTGACAATTTAAATTTTTTTTGTGAGTCAAATAAAAAAGTCTTATGCAAGTGTGAAAAATTCTTTTTTTATTGTTTCTTCTTTTTTATTGTGATACATTTCCATAGTTTTTAGCAGCCAGTACTTCATCTTTTGGGCACTGCAGTGCTTCACATTACAGATTCATTTCCAAGAGAGTCTTGGAATTGTGTGGTTTTCCTATTAGTGACCCATGCACAGTAGCCCTAAATATGTTCCCTCTCTACTGGTTTTTGAAGCCTATTGCTGCATTGCTTTACTTTTTTTTTTAGCTATGACTCAGTCCTATATTAGTTTTCCCCACTGACTTGTCACACATGATTTGCTTCACTATGTACTTGCTTTGATCATCAGTCAGATGATACTAGATTGCAGTTTGCTAAACATGAAAAGGGACTGAGTAATTCAGTTTGTTTGTAGCCTATTTCTAATGGACTTTTTTCTACATCACCAAACTATAAACTAGTTTTAGCAAATAGCACTGGAAATCTAATACTGAGAGCCATCCAAGTGGCCTTAAATGTGCTAGGGTGGTGCAAATCGTTGGTGAGGGGGGGAGATGACATAATAGCAGTCTAGACAAGTTCAGACCATTATGTCTGAAAAGTCCCTGGAGAAGTAACAGAAATCATGAGGAAAGGGGACCAAGCCTGGACAAACTGGACAGCTTATTTCTGGAGGTAAGGGGAAGCATGGCAAGAGAAAAACCCACAGTCTGTGACCACTTTAATTACCTTCATAGGCTGCTGATTGTCCACAAGTGCACAGAGGCATCATGTTCCTCACTTCATCTCTAAGTAAAATAATTCTTCATCATGTTTATCTTTAGTGCAATACATGATCAATGTAAATCAGATGTATTTATCAAAGATTTGGATGTATCTGTCAGCTCTTTCATGAACAAATAGTTTCCTTACATATATATTTTAACACTTCCTAAATTAAACAGTGCAGAAAAGATGAATGGCATGTACATAAAGTTATACTTTCTTTTAATCCTTCTGTATCTAAAGTTATACTCTCTTTTCATTCTTCTGTTCCCTTTTTTCTCATGTTGTGAGAATACACCATATCAATATTCACTTCTTAAAAGCCCTTAACCAAAAGGCTTCAATCATCAGTGAATTGACAACTTTGCTTGAGTCTGGAAAAGGGCACATTTCTCTTTTGAATGGCTGATAGTTTTGTTCCTTGATACATTCCATTATAGCATTATTTCTGAAAAAAATATTTCCTTGCATTGAAGGAAGAAAATTTGCCATACTTGTGATTTGCTATCCACATAAAAACAAAAAAAAAAAAAAAAAAAAAAAGGCAACTCGGCTATCTTCCAGAACAAAACTAGGGGAAAAAAAGTTATTTTGTTTAACTTTAAATTTCTTACATTTATTTCATTAAGATGGGTTTGCATCCATGTGAAGGATGCTCCTTTCACATACTCTGGTCTAACTTTTCTAGAGAAGACTGGTTGTGTCAGATAATTACTATTATTTACTTTTGCACTGTATTTGCTTATTTAATGTAATCTCTTCCATTATTCTCTAGAGATGTTCAAATCTTACATTAAGATGGAGAATAGTACAAAAGAGGAAGTGTGGCAGAAACAAGCTGAAAAATTATCTGTTTGTGGGTGTTTATACTGGAACAAGAGAGTTAAATGACTGTTTATGCTGTTCATCATGCCACTTGATATGAAGCAGACAGCAATAAAAGAAAATTCATATTTGCTTGGCTAGTTCCCTCAAACATGTTCCAAATGCCTTTTTTTTAGCTGTAAATGATCATTATGTGTTGAGCAGTCTTTGGGCCTGATTCTGAGCAACACAAAGTACTCTGCTTTCCAGAGATTTCACTGGGGAAATTTGGAATTCTTAGAAAGCTTTAGTCTATTGAAAAGAAAGCCCAATGTGCTTCATTTGGCCAGGTACCGAACTGACCATATTTGTTGTAATAATTTTTCTAATGAGATCTTTTGCTTGGGAGGGGTAACTTGCTATGGTGTTTTGCACAAAACTGAAAAATTATAAAACTCAGAAATGAAATATCCCCAAGTCTTCTGGTGTTGCGTTTACCTTTTCTTTCCATTTCTAACCTCATCATAATTTATCTGGGAGGGTTATGCAAAAAAGAAAAAAAAAAAAAAGAGAGACAAATAAACACTTTTTTTTTCCCCCGAAAAAAACTGAAGAATGCCCTTCAAAACTTTTCAAGAAACACATGCTCAAGCAACTCCGCTAAGCACCATTGGCCAATCAATTGTCATTGCCCTCTACTGGAGGAATGAGCTCCTCAGCTTTGAGTAGTTGTTCCTGCTGGCATAAGACTTTCACTATTTGACAGAACATTGTCATGATCTGTGTTAAAATAAGTTTGTCTCTAAAAAGCTGTTCATAGCTTCCTGAAATTTATTTTTGATCTGTAGTCAACCCATGCATTATAGGTCAAAGGATTTCATATTCATATGTAATTTTGTTTCATAGCTCAGGACCTTTGTGCTGTGGAGAAACATGCATGTGAGCAGATTTGTGTGAACACACCTGGGTCTTACGTCTGTCAGTGTTATGAAGGGTATGAGCTTGATGCAAATGGAAAGAACTGTATTGGTGAGTATGAGTTTAGCAGTTCCTTTGACTTCACTTGAGCAGTTCACTTTATCTCTTGACACAAACCAAAGGGAAATTCAATGTAAATTGACATCCAGTTTAGCCATAGACAACAATGGAAAGCTCTCTTCTCCTATATGGATTGTAGATAAGGAAGAATACATATTGGCATGTTCATAGGCCTTTACTGATAATGAATGGTGACTTGGGAAAATTATCCCAACTAATTTCACAGAGAAAGTAACACTGATATTTTGAGTCAGCACACCAGATGTTTTATTCTAGATCCATGCAGCTGTCGTGCAATGTATTGGCATGATATATGTGGCCATTAAAAGACAAAGCAAGCCAGACAAACTCAGTAGCTTCTCTTCATACAGAAGCTATACATGAAAAAACTTGAAAGTGGACAATTTCTTGCCATTTCTCACTTGGTTTTATGGTCATGCCAGGAGAGATTTCAAACTCTTTTTGGGAAGATGACTTTAAGGAAAGTTTAGCCCCCCCTTAAGAACCCGTCCATGCTGTGTGTTTAATTTTCACTATGCAATAAAGAAGCAAACAGCTCTAAGAATTACAACTCAAGAGTGAGTGTGGAAATAAAGTATAATAATTTTTTAACACAAAACATAATTCCTTCTCTATTACCATGTAAGTATCTCACTCTTCTTCCCCATTTATATACAATACTTTTAGGATAATCTTTTTCACTAGCCTATTACCCTCCTTGTAAACTTTTCATCCCATTCTGCATTTTGGGAAAATACTGTCGTCTGGTATCCACTACAAAAAAACCTTAGCAAGTTCTTGAAAATAAATGACCTTATTTGTTAGGTATTCTCTTCAGGCAAGAACTTAAATGTGTGCTTAATTTCAAACACATGCTGAAATCCACTGAAAGTGAATCCAAGTGAATCCTTGGCCCCAAATCTGCCACAGGCCACCACAGTGCTTTTGTCCAACGGTTTACTATTTCTTGTCATTTTAAACAACTCTAACATAATATAATCTGTCTCTTGGTACCCTCACAGAGCTATTACCTTGCAGGATAATACTATTTTGAGATGCAAAATAGATGGCGGTTTTTGGAACTGAACTTCTGCGTGTAGTTTCACATGGGACACACAAAGAAAGTTTTGAGGTTTTTTAGATGTAAGATAACATATATGGTTTTGAAGAATATTTACTCTGTACTTACTCATCAGAAATGTTTCCATTACTTGTACCTTCATGATCTCAGTATAGGAGTGTTTAAATTTCTCAATGTAATTTATCCTCAGCACAGTCTGGCCACTAATATACCATTTTAAGAACCTGCTTTCTGAAGCTGACTTGTTTTGAAAATGCAGTTAATAATGGCTAGTTAGGCGAGAAGACATGCTACATGTTCTGGCCCGAATTTCTACATCTAACACTATACAGAAGTTCATCCAATAACCTTAGCTAATTCTCATGACCTTTACCTGTGTTAGGATAAAGCATATATTTTTCTGCTATTGATTTGAGTATATCCTGAAACAGAAAATCTGTGACTTCTGTGGTAGGTGCTTTCATCCCCAATTCTTTCCTACCATATATTCTAATGCAAAATATTCATGCTTAGTGTCATCATCTGTAGTTACTATTTTCTCTCTGTTAAGTTGAAAGGTCCTTTACAGCCCATGATATTCTTACTGGGAAGCTAGCTACCATAGCATCATAGGGATAGAAATAAATTTTAGTGAAATTCTTTGTATGTCAAACCTAATATTATCCTCTATAATAAATTTGAAGTCTATTTTTCTTATTAAAAGCTTAAAAATATTTTTATGTCAGTCATTAAATTTCTTAGTGTTACTTGTTTTTTTGCCTGTTAATAATTTCTCTGCCAAGCCTGAACAATGCTATTTGGAGGTGTGATACATCTTTAACATTTTTTTTCTACATCCTCACTGACTCTCTTTGTTATGGAGAGATACAGACCTATTATAAGGTCCATTGATGACATTTGAAGCTTTCATATTCTCAGTTATTTTCAGTTATTTTCAAAATACAGTTTATACATGGGTTCACTATGATATCTTGCTTTTTATAGCTTTCTCTCCTCTCAACTTGATTTTTATTCATTTATACCTAGTTAAGCAAAAAACTTGAACTCATGATATTCATACCACTGCAATAATTAGTAGTATTAATTGTGATTTTAAAGCACATTATTAGCACTTCTGTTTTTCAATTTTCTTTTGCATTTATTTGACCATTTATTTTTTTAATTTATTACTGAGGCGTGTGAATGGCTCAACATATATTAATTATGTTATACCCATGCAGAACTTAGCCTTTCTACATTTCCTGAACAGGAAAAGATTGTCTGGGTAATTTGCAGTTTTGATGATAATTTGTCTGCAAATCCTGTTAGTTGTCACTCTCCAGAATTGCCTTTTCAGATTTGAACAATTTGATATTTTTGAGGAATATGCTACTACCAAGAATGTACAGCTTCTGCAGATGTGGTCACAAATGAATAATCATCCTTGATGGAAAATCTTGTAAAGGAGGCTATGTATGGTATTGAATCAGTAGTGATAACTCCCAGTTTTCATTACTCCTAAGCTAGTTAACCATTCCTTTCTGTGAAATACTTATTATCAAATGAGCAGGATCAGGAGAAAGATCTTGATGTACACATATAACAGAGACCACTGAGTACAACAACAATTTTGCAAAAAGCAGTGACTTTATTAAGGTAATTCTCTCCCCTTCATCCAGAGAACGAAGAGAGAATTTCAGTAGGACATACACATTGCAGTTCTCTCAAAGAGCCAAAGGTTTCTGTCTAATATATCTAAGACTTCTAAAATTTTAACTGCAGCAAAAGTAAATGAGAAAGTGCAGAAAACTCATTTCACAGGCAGGTTTATTAAGTTCTCTTCTGTTCTGATGGGTTAATTTCTTTGGTTAAGGATCAAAGGCAATACTAATTGCTTTATTGACACATGTCAGCCAGTCATCTGAATGGCAATAATTAAATAAAATCTCACAACCAGCAGCTCACAACTTATCCATTCAAAGTGACCACTGAATGGCCAACCACTCTGAGTGCAACACACAGTTTATGAATAAATTTGTAGACTAAGCACTATTTGAAATCGTCTGCTCGGTGAGAAGTATGGCTGGCAGAGCACTATCACTTTGCCCTTTTAAACAGCTTTTCATCTTAACTGCCCTCCTTTCACATGAACAAAATCCTGTCAGTTAAAATTTGGTGGTAATGAGCCATTCTTTCTCCATCATGCTGCTGGACACTCAGTCTCTCCACCTTCTTGGTGTTGCTGAACATACTGTCCTCTCTTTCCTGGCGCTGGTGCTAGACTGCCTCTGTATTGCTGCAGCTGTTGGACTTGGGACCTCTTCTCCTGGCAGTGGTCTGGCTGCTGGCACTTCACTGCAGTCCTGGCACTGCTAGATTTTTTTGGCTGCTTTCTAGGTTCTTACAAGTCTTCCATGAGTCTGCTCTACTCTTCTCCCACATTCTTTCTCATCCTCCTTATGCCTTTACTTATTCTGTTACCTTTTCTTCCTACCTTTTCTTCTACCTTCTCCTTAGCTTTGTTCTCCTAAACCTGAATAATCTATATAAACATCGTAAGAGTAGAACAACAATGCAAGAGAAAGGTGACCCATGCTGTCTACAATTCAGAGAGGGCAATGTAAGTGTCCAGGGTGCAGAAGTGGTAACTGGGAGTAAAAGATGGGTCTCGTGACTTACCAGCTAATTCCAAGCAAGAAAAGAAAGGCGGAACAAGCATGGGGAGATGACAACTGAATTATTTGCTTGCTCACTAAAAAGATCATTAATTCATCTTTTAGAATTGTTTCTTACTGAAATAGGCAATAGGCTAACATTAAAAACATTGAGATCTCTTAAGTGTTCGCACTCTAGTGAATATCTCATGACAGTACAGAAATATGAAAATCATAAAACTTTTAAAAATTAGGAAAATATTATTCTGCTTTGATCTTATACAAAATATGTATATTTTCTGCATGCCAAGTAAAGGATTAGAATACTTCAACATAAGAAATACAGATTTATAATTTTTTTCAGTCTTTTCAGAGCAATTTAACTCCATGGACAACTTACCTACTTGCTGACTGGAATGCTATTGAGAAGTTTCCCTTTTAAGCAAGTACCACCAAAATGAAACATGCAGCTAAAAGTTAAATGAATTTGTAGGTTAATTACTAGTGCTAGTCTGCAAGTCTAAGCCTGCCTAGAATTAGGGCAATTTGTATACAAAAAATACTGAAAAAAGGGAATAATACTTATCTCTAAAAGCAACTGTCAAGAGAATGTTCTCACTTCTTAACTGTGTTAGTGGAAAGGCATTATACTCACAGGCCAACAGACCTACTTCTGTGAGTAAGAGGTCCCCAGAAAGCTATAAATGGAAAAAAACAAGACTGGAAAAATTAGTTATTTATTTCATTGGGTTTTTTTCCTTCCTGTCCACAGTACATTAGCAGCTGCATAGCCATAAGAAGGCACAGTTCCTCCCTCAAGAGATTGTAATCTGGAAGTGCTTAGTGTCATAGGTACTTAGATGTTGATAATAAAGCATTCTAAGACCTGTTTAGTTTGTCTTTTCACCAAGACTGGTGAAAGGCCTGAAAGACATGTCCTATGAAGAGCCTTGGAGATAAGGAGGCTGAGGGATGACCTCGTTGCTCTCTACAGCTTCCTAAGAAGAGGAAATGGAGAGGAAGGTGCTGATCTCTTCTCCCTGGTATCCAGGGACAGGACACTTGGGAATGCTTCAGAGCTGCACCAGGGGAGGTTTAGACTGGACACGAGGAAGCATTTCTTTACTGAGAGGGTGGTCAAACACTGGAACAGGCTTTCTAGAGAGGTGGTCAATGCCCCAAGCCTGTTAGTGTTTAAGAGGCATTTGGACAATGCCCTTAACAACATGCTTTAACTTTTGGTGAGCCCTGAAGTGGTCAGGCAGTTGGACTAGATGATTGTTGTAGGTCCCTTCCAACTGGAACTGTTCTATTCTATTCTGTTCTGTTCTATTCTATTATAGTCTCAACTTCCTAATCATTAGTCGGGCAGTTGCAGATATTGTGCTAGAAATGCATTTCATTAGGGTTTAAATGCAGAGGAGGAAGTGACTTTATGGAGCTATCCATATGGGCTGTTTCCCAGGTATGCTGCTAGATAGAAAAAACAATATATTTTTTGGCCTACTTACTTCTTAATGTATCTTTTAAAACACTTTATAATGTGCATGTGGTTAGAATTAATTTAAGAGGAAAGCTGACTAATTGTATGACACATTATATCCTTGAAATATATATTCAGTAAATATTTTTTATATGAAGCTATTCAGTCTGGAAACAGGAAAGTGCTTGCCAGGAAAATGGTCTCACATAGTAGCCAGTAAGTAGTCTAATTTGACTTGATTCAACACAAATATTCTGAAGGGTTAAAAGAAGCTCTTTCAAAGTAACTAAATAACTAGATAACCTTGACTAGGTAACTTGGCACACCTGAGTATATGCATGATTTGCAAAGGCAGGGCTATTGAAGAAGGAACTGATTTAATTAAAAGAAATTACTGCCTCTGAAAGTAATCTGGGAGGCTCTGCAGTATAAAGTAATGAAAAAATTACTCAGTTGGCAAAGAAAGGGAGCTTGTCTTGTTAAATGTCTGCGTGAAGCTGAGCACATTACTGTCTTCTGCAGAAAGAATCAGGTAAATTTGCCTAATGTGGACCTGGCAACTCTCTGGGGATAGAATACCTGCTTTGTGACTTATCTTTAATTTCTTCTAAGACTTTCTTTGTGATGAAAGAGCTTAACCTGCAAAGAAATTGGAAAAAAAAAAAAATCATTTAACTTCTTTAGCACTTTTGAATTGGCTTGACTGAGTAAGCTCTCTAAAGTATTACCTTATTAACCTTTGGCAATCTATCTTTTAAATATGGGTTTGCATAAAAAGTGACTGGACTTATGAAATAAGTGACTGGACTAGCTATGATATTTTATTTCTCTTATACAAAAGGCATTATATAAGCAAAATATCGGTGGTGAATATCAGCCTCAAGCTCTCGGGCTTCGTAGCTGCAGCTGCTTTGTGCAGGACGAATCTGGAACACATCAGAGGGAATGAATGTACTGTGATAGTACTTGGTGTAGAAGGTATTGCCATGGGTCTTCTATACACTTAGGCTAGAGGAACAGCTCTTGAGAAACTAATGCAGCTGGGAGGGAACTAAGGAAAAGTAAAGCAATTCCAGGACTGGGACTGGAGAGGCAGAAAACAGAACTAAATCAATCACACTTTGCTATGCCCTGGTCTATAGTGTGAACATCTGGACAGAGTTACTGTCTCAGGCATGGTTTCCAGATCTGATAAAACACATTGAGAAGTGCTCCTGACAATCCAAAAGCTGATAAATGTTCAAAAGGTAAGAGAAATGATCCAGGACTCATATCAAACCTGATCTACCAACTGGTATTGCAAGTGCACTAATCTTTGCAGAAAGGCTCTGCAGGATAAGAACTATGTCATGTTTTCCTTTTTTTTTTTATTGCTACTCTGTGTAACTAGTACCGTAATATCTATGCATGTTAGTTCTAATTTTGTTTTTCTAATTGTACTTGTTGGTCTTGTTATTTTTCAGTTGTAGACTACTGTGCTTTGGATAACCAAGGTTGCCAACACGAATGTGTTAACACTGAGGACTCCTATTACTGTAGATGCCACCCAGGGTTCATTTTAAATCCAGACAAAAGAACTTGCAGAAGTAAGTTGTGATAAGGTTTAATTATGAACAGTTTGTACTTCTTCTGTCTTCCAGTTCTCAACAGTAATATTCTCACTGGTCCTGAGAGCAGTGAATGATATGTCAGGTATAGAAAATCAATGTTGGAGTGCCCTTGAAACCAAAGGTGTTGAAAGCAATGCAAGTTGTTTTGGGAGGTAGTTTGGCTTTTTGGGGGGAGAGACTAAGGGGACGGGTCCCTCCGATGAACAGGAAACTTTTAACATGAAACCAGTCTCCTCTTAACTGTTGAAAAGTCCAAAGCTTTGTCTTGCATAGTCTCTTTGATTATCCAGAATTTTCAGTTAGAATATCATCTCCCTAGCGTGATAAACAAACAAGTCTGTACAAGACCATTTATAATCAGCTTGGTTCGTAAGACAAACTAAAATTAAACAGAGTAGTTCCACAATCAGAAAACATTGCAGCCTGTTTTTCTATGGGTTTTTCTCAAGAGTGGGTTCTTTGATAGTGTGCTAAAGCTCTGGCAACATCAGTATCTTCTGCCAAGCTTCCATGTTTCCACAAGGTCATAACAACTTTGTGGCTTTGCTTGTTTGTTGTTTGTCAGATTTGAATGATACCAGGCTAACAAGTTCAAAAATGATCAGAGTTAGGAGTGGATATAAAGCGGAGGGGAACTGACATACCAGAAAGTATTCTTGCCAAGGCTTCCTATAATTGGGAAAACAAGCTAAAACCTCCACGGTGTTTAATGTCATAACTCACTTTAAGGTTTTCCTTTCACGTTTCCTGAATGTACCCTCCTAGTTACTTTCCTTCATAAATATGGGCCTTGAAAAAGAGATGTTACTGTTGTGTCTGTAAGCAGACAAACTCTGTTAGTTTTAGATGAGTGGAACTGTTGATGCCAGTGGTGAATTTACCTATATACTGTAACTTGTATTATGCTTGGTATCTATTTGACTTAAATTTAACATTTAGAAAGAAAGCATCTAAACCAGGCTGTACATCTGACCTTATGATCAAGGGAAAGAGACACACACTTCTAGAAGGTGATTGCTCGCGGCTCTGACAAAAATTTATGGAAGTGCCTGTATTTTCCTTGTCTGTTCAGGGAGCCTGAATGACTTGCCAGAGTAGACACCTAATTTTCAGATGGTCAGAGTCAGGGGAGATGAATTTCCTACCTCCCCAAGGGCCAGAATACAGTTTGTACTGATTCACATTGCTTGTAGATTGTATGAATTTACCCGTTTATCAAGTATCTGTCAGCTAAGGGCTGGCTAAATTCTCTTATACTTCCACATCCATATATTTTTGAAATCTTGAAATCTTATTATAGTGTAAGTGACACTGCCCAAACACACTTTTTGTTAATTCATTCAGTTTAAGAATGTGGATTTAAGCAGTGTTTTTTTCCCCCAGTTTGAACTGAACAAAGACCTTAAAACTGCATAAACATTTTACATGCCTTGAATAATTTTTAATTTATGATCTAACTGTATGAATTATTTCAACCTGTTTAAATCAAATGCTGGTTAAACAGGATTTCTGGAAGTCATCTACTCTAGCCTCCTCTTCAAAGTGGAGCTGCCACAGACTGTGGATTGAGTCAGCTATGGTTTTGTCTAGTTGAGTCTCGGAAAGCTCCAGTGGAGAGTCCACAACCTCTCTGGGCAACCTGTTCCACTGCTGCACTATCCTGCTAGTGAAAAACATTTTCCTCATGTCCAATGCAAATCACCTAAGCCACAGGTGGTGACCACTGTTCCTTGTTACATCATCTGGCACTACCAAGAAGAGTTTAGCTCCATCACCTTTGTAATGGCCTACACTAAGTTACTGGAGGCTGCAAGTAGGTACCTCCTTTTCACCAAACTCAGTAAGACCAGATTCCTCAGGACCTCTGCACAAGTCAGGTTCCCTATGTCCCAGCAGTAGGTCTCTGTTGAGCCCTCTACAGCTTATTCCCTTTAACTGGGGGCAGAAGGGAAGGGATTGTTCCAGAACTGCACAAAGTATGTTAAGTGTGGTCTCCAGCTGGGCCTGGCAATAGCCTTTGTTGATCCAGAACCCGACTTGCCAACTGAGTTCCCAGCTTGATCATGGCCTTGCCCTGCCACTGTGGACCTGCCCAACAATCACTGGGCTGTGTCAGATCCTGGCCCTCACCAGGAGTAGCCTCACACCATCCTGACCTGCAGGCTGGCCTCCTAGCTTGACCTCAGACCTGCCCCAGCAGCAGGTACTTTTCTGATGATCTGGACTTTTGGTTAAATCTGGCTGCTGTTTCCAGGCCTGCCCTGTGCACCTTGCTTGGGTATTGCAGGGCAGTGCCTCTGGCAAGGCCGCTTCCCTGCTCTGCTGTATTATTACCCTCGGCTCCTGGCTCTTCTTCTTTTAGGGATCAGCTGGTCCATGCTGCCCCCTGACAGTGGGTCACTTCCCAGTCTGTACAAGCTCTGGGGTGTTTCCAACCCAGGTGCAGGACTTTTCAATTCTTGCTGAACTTCACAAGACATCTTCTGGTCCAGTCGTCAAGTTTATCGAGGTTTGTCTATATTGAAGATCTGAAGATGGAGACTGTCCCTAATTTAGTGTCACCCATAGATTTGCTGAGGGTGCGCTTCGTATCATCATCTATGTCACTGATGAAGATGTTTAGCAATGTGACTCCCAGTACTGTTCATTGTGGTCTTCTGGTCGTTATCAGTAACCAGCCAGATGATGAAGCCATTGATCACTATCCTTTCAATCTGGTGGTCTGGTAAATTTTCACCCCACCTAACAGTTCTTTCTTCTGGCCTATACTTCCTTAGCGTCCAAATGAGAATGCTGTGGGAGGCAGCATCAAGAGATATACTAGTGTCAAGGTCTATTATATCCACCAATCTTACCTTGTCCACAGATGCAGTAATTTCATCACTGAAGGTGAATGGTGTGGTCAGGCATGGTTTGGCCTTGGTAAATCCATGTTGACTGTTCCGAATAATCTTCTTGTCCTTCATGTATTTGATAATTGATTCTGAGAGGATGAGCCCCATGATCCTGGGACTGAAAGATGTGAACTGGTCTATAATTCCCTGATCTTTCTTCTTGTCTTTTTAAAAAAATTAGTGTAACATTATCATTTTTCAGTTATGAGGGACCTCTCTCAGACCCTGTGATTTTTCATATGTGATAGACAGTGGTGTCACATCACCTAACTCTTTCAGCACCCACAGGAGACTACCAATCCTCCCATGAATCTGTATATGTCCAGTTTCTCTAAGTAGTCTCTAACTGATGTTGCTAGCCCTTTTCCCTCCCAAACTGTGCTAGTACACATGGAAATCTGGGAGTAGGCTTTGTCTGTGACAACCAGGAATAAAAAGGGCTTTATTTTTTTCAGATGTTTATGTATTGGTCATCACTAGGTTGTTCCCCCAGCCAAAAGACCCACATTTTCTGTGACTTTCTTTTTGCTGCCAGCATATCTGTAGGCTTCCTTCTTATTACCCTTAGTGTACCTCAGTAGTAATAGATTCAGCTGGGCCTTGTTTTTGTCTCAAAGTACCTAAGCAATGCTTTTATACTCCTTTTCTTGGTCTTTCTTTTTCCCTCTATTATTTTTCCCTCTGTGTTTTAGTTCACTGAGAAGCTGTTTGATCTAAGCAGATTTTCCAGTACAACGGGATCGTTTGTTCCTGAGATCTTAGCAAATTTTCTTTTAAAATCATCTAACTCTCCTGGGCATGCTTTCTGTTCTTGGCTCTTTCCCAGGGGATTCTGCCTAGCAATTCCCTGAATAAGCCGAAATCTGAACTTGTAAAATATGAAGTTCAAATTCTGCTGTTTTCCTTCCCAGCCTTCTGGATTGTGAATTCAGTCATCTCATGGTGACAGCAGCAAGTCAAGAGGAAAATCACCCCTCAAGAATTCATAGTAGGGAGTTGTCACCAAGTCTGTGCAGAAACTTCCTGAGTTGCCTGCACAATGGTGTCTTACCCTACCAGTAGGTGTTTGGCTGGTTGAAATTTCTAACGTGAACAAAAGCCTGTGAGTTGGAGACTTCTGCTGTTTGTAGAAAGCCTTACTCACTACAGCCTTTTGGTCAGATAACAGACTCCACCACCACATTCTCAGTGTCATTTCTCCTCTGATGTTGACCAGAAACTCTCAGCAGGCACATTTGTGGTTTCAAATTGAATCTCTGTAGAATGGAGGAGATCTTTAACATGTAACACAAAAGTACACTGCTCCACAAGGAAATGCAAGCTGGGAGCCAAGGATGGCTACAAGGCAGGCAAGGTCAGTAATCTCTCTGACAAGGCCTTTGATCCCACAGTACCCAAAGAAGAACAAAATAGGTCATAATGACAGTAGCCAAGCTCAGTGAGCAGTCCAGTGATCACCAGACAAGTCCATGGTGTCAAGAGAGGTCTAAGGTCAGTTCAGGAAATCAAGTCAACAGGTCAGGATCAGCAAAATGCAAGGCTAGGCACAGGCATAGTTATAACACGGCTCAGGTAAGAACCAAGCATAAGAGCCTAACATTAAATGAAGTTCCTAAGTCAAGGGGCAGAGGTCACAGACAAGGCTTCTCACAGATCTGTGGTTCTCTGTCATATTAACTGAATTCTATTTTGTTGTGAATGCTCTAAATTAGTGTAAAATCAAGGGAGAAAATTCCATGAGGTTGTAACTAGGGAAAAATCAGAGTGACTGGACATGGTAGGCCATAGAGATTGATTCAGAAAGAGCAGTTGGGGAGGAATGAGCAACTACTGTGTCAAATCACTCTCTTTCAAGATACGTATCTTGAATCTGAGCATAAATAAAAGCTACTTAGCCGCTTTTCCTTACACTTGGTATCTTCTGAGCCTTTCTAATAAAATAAAGCATGAATGAAAGAACTGTGTAGCTCTTAATGCTGCGAAAGTCAAGACAGCATGAGAATTCTTCAGAGTCAAGGTGTCCCCTAGCTCCCATATGTTATGAATCACACTGCCTTTGAGTCAGCATAAACAACATGAAGAAACAAACTTCAGATCACTGGATTTAAAATGTTTGTAAATTTAAAACCTTTAAAATGGATTTCTACATATTTGGCTTATGTACTGAATCTCAGGGATGATTGCCAACTAGCCAAGACTCATACCCATGCCTGACCAGATCTCTGCATCATCAAGCAGGCATAGGCCTGGGGCACTAGCTCCTGAGATCTCGTGATTGTCTCAGAGTCCTGGCTTTCCTTTCAAAAATAGAAAGTAAGCTTTCATGCTCATGGCTACAAAGAAAAGCTTGAAAATGTAAATGTTATCACTACAGTCATGCATATCTGACAAATGTTTTCTCTGGGAATTATTCCAAACTTCTTGGAATGAAATACAGGGAACACAGCTCATGGGGGCAACCCGGCCAACACCAGCAGCGTATTCTATATGTGGCTGGAAGAGAGCAGAAAATTCAGGTTTTCAGTGCGGCAGGTAGAGGTCATTACTAGCTACTAAGTTAACAGTTAAGAGGACTTTTGCCACTCTTGCTGCTCCCCTTAAGAGATCAGGTGATAGCTTCTGCTTATACTTAAGCATGCTGAGCCTCAACCGTTGTTCTTTAGGGAAGGCCCCTGTTTGAGCAGTGGGTGGGTTCACATGACCTGTAGCTAGTAGAGGCCTTCAGTTAACATCCATAATCTGGGCTGTGTTAATGAAGCCCTGTGAAATGTGTTTTTAGTGTTCCCAACATAATAGCCTCAAGATTCCAAAACAGATAATACTACAAATTTTTTAACTCTTGTGGTCATTTTCAGAATCAGTTACCCAGGAAAAGTCTTGCCTGCATACTTGAGTTAGCAAGGATTTGAGCAGGTGAATGCAACACAGCACGGAGGAGGTCCAGAAGGCATACAGCTACGTTCCTCTGGTGCACACAAGTGGCTTTATGGTTTATGTCTCTTCGGTGCACTCTTGAACAAACCATATTTTCTAATTATTTTTTTTTGCTAAACAGCTAAGATATCCCTGTGTTGTATAGATGTGTGTGTGCATATGCTGTCATAAATAGCTTTGGTAAAGGAAGTGCTCTATAAATATATGAAATTGAGTTCATAAATGATAAAATGCTCCTCTCAGCTTTTCTTAGAAAGTCACATTTCACTTTGTTTGTCCTGAAAATATAGGTGATTTATTATTGCTAAGGGCTTTCATCATATCTAAAGGCTCAATTGCATTAGCCTGCCACACATACAAGGCAAGAACAGTTCTTGCCTCAAGAAGCCAATTACCTCTGGGAATAATAATTAACCTCTGAATGTCAGTTTTCAGGTTGTAAAGTGCCTAGATGTCTTTAAAAATGTGACTCACTTGATTTGTGATTTGCTTTATTTATTTTTAGCAGTGCTGAGGGGTTGAGACCATTCTTTTACTAGTATAAATTAATTAAACCCACTGATATAAGACTAACTGATGACCAGACACTGCATCTAAGTGAATGTCAGGTTCTTTGACTTCATCAATAGTGGTAAACACTGTGTGGTAAATATCCCAGTGCTTACTACACAATTACTTTCCTTGTTAAGGTACTTTATACACAAGCAGTAGCTGTTTCTAGACTTTGCTCATCTTCCCTTTCATGAGCATTTTAAATGGAAGAACTATGTAGCAAACACCCAGAGCTGTTAAAACACCAATGCTGCTGATGCAGCACCTGATAGTCCTGCTGTGATTTAATGAATGGCATTCAAAAGCCTGTTTGTGTATTTATTACAGCTCATATTTAACTTGCTCTGAGGACAACAAAGAGGCAATTTTGGTGAGGCAATGTATAGGACTTAGCTGCAAAATGTTAAGAAATATTTTAAATTCTAACCTTACTGCATGTAATATATGTATTCTCAAAGAATTAATTGAAGTATACAAATCACATATACCTAAAAGTATAGCAGATATTTGGAAAAAAGGAACATTTTATTTTCATAGTTTGAAGCAATACGGTAAAAAGTCAGAATAGTGCCTAGAAAAAAAAAGTCTGAAGAGAAGACAAAGCAACTGTTTTTTATCTAGCTTACTTCTGAAGATTATATTCCTCACTGACACAATTTTTTCTGATTTAGGACCAGACTACTGTGCTCTTCAGGACCATGGTTGTGAACAGGAATGTGTTAATGCAGATGATTCCTATTTTTGTCGATGCCAAGAAGGGTTTAGACTTAATCCAGATAAGAAAACATGCAAAAGTGAGTAATCCTTTGGACATAACAAAGTTCATCTGCTTTTATTTCTTAAACCTGCTGTGAATGGTTTCCCTTCTGAAAGGATGAACATTTTCTGTATAATTAAGGCTGAAACAAATGTTTCTTTATAAACTTGAATTTTAATGAGCCAGTCATGCTGGAAAAATATACTGTTTGCTGTTTTGTAGACTACATTGTATATTATACATTTTCTGAAGAGATTTATGGAAACCTGAGGAGTAATATAGGAACCAGAGTGGCTCAAAAACAATAAGTTCATTACTTATTTGAAATTTTCTGACCTTGTCTTGTAGTGACACAAACAGCTTTTTAAAAAAAAATAAAAATCACCTTGCTTTGGCCAGTTGGCTTAGCCAAGGACAGATGTATTTCATTATATTGGGAAAGTATGGGTTAGGTAATGTAGCTATTAAAATCAACTTAAGGTCACACACAAAACCTCACAGTTTCCTAAAAAAAAAATGTAAAAGCAGCCTCAGCAATGTCAGGGTTCTAAACCAATCGCACATACTATTTATTTTAAAAAGACTTCTGTGTTACAACTCTTCCTGAGTGGCAGTCTGGAATTACAGCAGATTTTCAATGTAATGTTGTTAAAGTTTAAGGAGAATATATTCAGCAAAATTAATTAACCTGATCTAGTGACTCAGTTCTTGGGGGGGAGAATTGTACTGCTGATATTTTATGAATAAGAAACTTGCCTGGAGCAACATAGTTATATTTCTAGATGCTCATAAAATTTATCTGCTTTTGGAACTGTATTTTCTTTCAGTCTTAAAGATGCATTCTCATGAAGCATCTTTGTCTACACAGTACTGTCTTTACAGCAATTCATGCTATTCTGGTTTTTATTATCTATATGGTATTTTAATACATTTATCTTTTTATAGATTGGATGAGCCTTCATGAGTATAGGAGCAAAAGAACAGTATTGTGTAGAATATTTATTGCCAAGGATGTAATTGTGAATTAAAGGCACATTGTAATTCCCATTTGGGGTATTTTTCCTTAACCTTAGAAGAATGTGTATTTGACTGTAAACCTGGTAACATTTCCAGGATTAAGCTCTTATTCCAAATCTTGTTAAAACAAGTCTCATGTTAGATAGGAAGATTTGCATATATGCCTTCTTTATAAATCAGGGAGAATGCATCACTGGTGACTAGCACCAGCCATTCCTCGTTCACCACCATGCATGACTTGTGATGACTACAGGAGCAGGTCTGTGGGAGTCAAACTGAGGTCTTGCATAGCCAAGTATTTTCAATCCGCTCTCAGTTCCTCAGTTCACTATCAGCCTTAACAGGTGTCCAAAGCACCGAGTCCAGTATCGTTTAAGAAAAGGGAGTTTTTCTAAGCCATTTTACTTCAGAAATCCTCTTGGGTGGCTTGAATTCTTGACTGTTTTTCTCTCCACAAAAGTAAACTTCTGTGCTTTAGGGCAGCATGACTGTGACCATGAATGTGTTAACATGGAAGGGTCATTTGTGTGCAAATGTCATCCTGGATACGCCCAACGACATGATGGCAATACGTGCAGAAATGAGCGTGTCTCGTGAACTGCAGTGACTAGTTACTGCAGTGGGGCGAGGTGTGAACAGAATGAGAAAACGATCCTGGGTCCCTTTTGAGATCTTTCTGAGCTATGCAAACCTATGTTACTGTAACATCTACCACGAGCCAGGCCTGGTGAAGTAATGCTATAGTGAGATCCCTGATCCAATAGAGAACTAAAGCATCATCTTCTCCAGTCCAGATAACTGGGAAAAAGTGCTTAGCCAAGGTGTCTGACACAAAGACAGTGATTACTGTTGAACATCTGTATGATTGCCATGGGCTGTGTAAAATGCAGCACACCTGGTAATGATGTATGCTGATATGTGGAGATATGTAGAGACTTCCCCCTTCTACATGTTTACAATTTCAGTGATCTGTTTGATAAAATGTCCTCTTTTAATAAGAATGTGACTAAACAAAGGATCAGTGTTGCACCAGAAAAAAACAATGATATTGCCCACTTGACATCACCCAGTTTTTAGAAGATACTTTTATTGCAGACAACCATTTTGCACATCATTTTAAATATTGGCAGCATTTTTCCCTGATGTTCTTACAACATAGTTTTCCAAAGGAACACTCAGTTACTGAAAGTAAAAAAAAGTTGATAGGCCAAGGAGTGATTATTTTTAAATAAACTGTTTGTGATAAAGCCATATTTAGGAAAACTTGATTGTGTTGCAAGAGCTGAGAACTTTTAAACAATTAGGTTTTAGGCTATCGCAAGTTGAATATCTAAAAATTATTTTATCCCAAGACACACACTGTTTTTAAAAATTCTGATTCTTCCTCTTCCTGTGTCCCTTCCCATTCTTCATTTTTTTTACACATGTAATGAAGCACACATGATGACCAAATTTACAGTTATACTAATTTCTAAAGCCTGATAATTAGCAGCTTTGTGATTACACCACTCCATGAGAGTGTGTTACAAGATTCTGCATGAGAACCCAAAGTATTTAAATCTTAAAATTCACATTAGTGTGGGTGTTTATATTGTAAAAGATGCTGCCAAACAGATGCAATTTTTCACAGAGAATACTGGGGTTTGTTTTTTTTTTTTTTTTCCACATTTTTTATGTGCTCTGAGAAGTTACACAAGCCTCTTCATGATGATGTAAACTCTTGGAAAAAGGAGAATGTTCCAGCTGGAGCTTGCTTTAGCTAGTAAAAACTGACACCTCAGTTTGACTTGTTCAAGCCAACTTTATCTCCATCTATGTATAATGGTAAATCTGGACCAATTAGTGCAAACTCAGTTAAATAAACTAATAAACAGCAATATTTAGAACTAAGTAATTTTACATTAAGCACAGAATTTTTTTTTAATTTTAAAAAATAGCTGTGGACATGCCTATTCACGTCTGTAAATGATTTGTAAATAGAGACATATGAGACCGTGTTTGTGTCTGAGGGAACTCCACTACTATGATCAAGTTAAGCAAAAGTGATCTGGGCCTGTGTGACTAAAAATAGCCATTAATAAGTTGGCAATAAAATATTGTGAGGAAGTTCAGTGTAAGGCTTTTTTCCTAAAATGTGCTTTTTCTATACTTACAGAGTCAGTAGATTACATAGTACATATTGAAGTGCATGTACCTCACCCTACTGCTTTACTGTCCGTTCTGTTCAACCTAATTCACACCTCTTTCTCTCTTCCCCCACCCTTCATCTTTCACACAACCAGTTGCATACAAGACTAAAAAAAATTTTACGTTTTCTCTTACTTGGAATAGGAATAGGAAAATCAAAGAAAAGGAACATATTAAGACATCTTTGCACTCCTAATTTGTATCTCTCGTGCACTAGGCTTTAACTGCTTGAACCTGTTGGCAGGTTGAAGTTTTAAATTAGTGACTTCTCATCCTGTTGAAAAAGAATTTACTGTTTATGAAATAATCTGAAAGCCATAATTTTTATTTCAAAAGTTTCTAATATTCATAGAAAACTTTATGGTGAACAAAAGAGAGTGTCTTGCTTTTTAAAGAACAAGAGCATGATTCTGCAGGTAAGACCAGGTGGGACTTTGAGGTTCCCCCTTCACTCTGCTTTGAGTTAGTTTCCCTTTGTGATTTTTGGCAAGGGAGACCTGCACTTCATCAGGTTTGTTATCTGCCAAGTGGAGTGGCTGTATTAATTTCACTTACATGTTGTCAATTAACTCAGGTTACTCAAATAGGTGGGGATTCTGATAAATAAAAAGCTCTACTGATCTTTTTCCCTCGCTCTGCAAAGGCATTGTGTACTAAGTACAGTGTCACAGTGCATGTATCTAAGGCTCCAATGTGACTTCTTCAATTATTAACACAAATCAATAGGAGTGGACCACTGTGCTGAAAACAACCATGGCTGCGAGCAACTGTGCCTAAATACTGATAGCTCCTATGTCTGTCAGTGCTCTGAAGGATTTGTCATCAATGAGGACCTAAAAACCTGCACACGTAAGTCTTCTGTGAACCTCCTTGGTCTCAGCTCACCTGGGAAAGGTTTCTCTTTTCATACAGGGAAGAGGACACACCTTCAATTCTTACAGTCTGCATTTTGATAATGATTTGAAAGCACAAACAGACAGAAGAAGGACTTAGGAAAGGATAGTTGTCAAGATAACTGTAAATCTTCACATATTCAGAAAAGTTTTGGAAGATCTGTTCAGCCCCAGGTATTGAGGACAGTTTTTCAGTCACATGACAAATGTGTCCAACTGACAGGTCATCTTGACAGCAGTGTCCCCCAGGCAAACTGCATCAGCTTACCTGGGGCAGGAGCAGGGAGACTCCCACACCGAGCCTTACATTTTGCATGGGAACCCTTAATAACTGAACAAAAGTTGTCCTGACAGCTCCCCACTCTTTATAAATGTAATGATCATTGAGAATCATTGCAGTTTCACAAATAGCCAAATTGCCTCCTTCACTGGAAAAATAATATATAGAAAGGGCCAGGAGAAGAGGAATGTGAATGCATTTTGCCTGTTGACTTTTCCTGGACCTCTTTGATGAGAGGTGTTTGGCTGCTTTTTCTACATATCCTGGAAGTACGTTATTTTTCAAGCCTGTTGAATGTTGGAGCTGCTTCAGAGTTCGCTGCTTTTCTCGGACTTGAGCAACACAGTTTTATCAGAATTCAAACTGCAAGTGCTCAGTGACAAAAATGAGCTAGGGAGAAGTGAGGCAAATCAGCAAAGGCAATTCATCTTTGTCTTTAACCTTGTCTTTGCCTCCATGCTAACCTTTTTAGCCCCATCGAATACCTTGACAGACTTTGCTTCTGTCTGCCACTGCAGCTCTAGGAAGGGGCAGACAGTAATGCAAAAGCAGAACTAGTGTACATGTAACAGTAGGGTCTACTAGAAACAATTTATCTAGACATTTATCTAAAAGAACCACTGGAAATTTAGAAACAGACAAACTATGGAGTTTTATCAATTTGCAAATGGAAAATCCCTTTTCCTTTTTAGTAAGAAGAGGTGGGTTTTTTCACTCTTGAGTTACTTTTTTCCACCCTGTATTTGGGAGAAGTATTGAAACAGTGCTGTGGCTTCTGGAATCCCTCTGTGCAATGAAACTGAGTCCTTTTGAATAGCTCCTCTTCTTGCCAGCATACCCCTTTCCTCATATATAATTAGGAAAGAGATTTGTCCTATTCCTGAGCTCCAGATGAGTTGTTGAAACCTCATGGACATTTTTAGGCTATCATGAAAAGAGTTTTGGCATTTGGGGATTTCCTGAATGAGCAGCTGGATAGAACAGATTAGCGTTTAACATATACCACTCCTAATGGGAAAACATCTGGGAATTACAATTCTGGTGTCATATAGACAGGCACAGGTATCTTAAGACAGCTGTGGAAACACCTCTAATGGTAAACAGATTCCTACTCTGACAATTAATTACAAAAAAATGAGTGACACTGTGTGTGTAGCAAATAGACAGTAGCAAGTGCTCCCTGCAGGATCCCAGTGGCCCTGTGTCTTTATATTACTGAGAAGAAATACTTAGGAAATTGGAGATGAGAAATGGAACATATTTGACAGTGCTTGTCATTTGCAATTCTTTGCAAAAGCTTGCATAGTCTGAGCCAAAGCCTACTGAGGTCCCCAAGAGGTTTTCTGCTTGCAAGTGCAAGTCAGGTGCATAAGTGAGTTCTGGGGACTGTCACCTTCACATTGAGCTATTTAGACACTGTATTTAAAGAAGGGTGCTCACAAGATAGCTTTTATGTCTTTGCCACTGTCATATAAAATCATTGCTGAAGTGTTTTGGTTTTGTTTTGTCTTTTAAAAGTTCAATTTGTAATACTGAGACATGAACTCTGTTGAGTTAAGCATAGGAAAGTATGATTTCTCAACTGCTTAGAGCAACCAATGGAAAGTACACACCAAAGCCCTCTTATATAATTGATTCATTATTTGTTATTTTTTTTAATAACTTCAATTGCTCCTACAGGAGTTGACTATTGTGCTTTGAATGATCATGGCTGCGAACATTTGTGTGTAAATGGTGACAGATCTTACACTTGTCAGTGTTTTGAAGGATACAGGCTTCGTAATGATGGGAGAACATGTAAACGTAAGTTATTTTTCAGCAGCTCAGAGTCAGATAGAAGAAATATGAAGGGTAGAGTTTGATTGCCTAAATGTTGCTGTCCAGTGTCATTTTAAATGCTCAAGGATTCCAAATGTTGATAGTTTCCTCTTTGGTGTCATATTTGCCAGCAGTACATCAATATCTTGGATATGCTAAGGCATCTAAAGTGGTACTGGATGCATGCTTTTAGGCACACCCTAAATTTCTGTGCCATTTAAAAAGTAGCCCTGAAATTGGACTGCTGTAGATCCAAGACTATTTTATTCTGACTTACAAATGTATATGGGAGAACTGTAATTTTCTTCTCAAATCATGACAAAAATATATAATGTTTCTAAAGTCTTATGCAGAATGAAGCTTGCAATATTATTAATGGAAAGTTAATTGTGTCCAGCATGGATGATTGCAAAAGAGATATCATAATAGCATTACATATTTAACCACAATATGCAGTTATGATGAGTGGCAGATATCAAGAAAAAATTAATTGCAAATTTTTATCCATTTTTATAGCTTTGATCACTAAGTGATCAAAGAAGAATCATAGATAAGTCTCTGAAAAACACATAGGCATTAAGTATTTTTTAACTGTAATCCCAATAATATCCATAGATCTCATCGATATCCGCTGTTAAAAAATATTTATAGGAAAAAAACCCCTAAAGTCATCCAGATATTACCATGACAAATGAAAAGCTCCTTGTTCTCAGTTTGTATATCACAATACCATCCTACTTTGTTATTCCATGCAAACAGAGACAAATTCTGCTTGTCTCAAAAAGTACTGACACTCTAAAAGCAAGTGAAATGATCTGTCCGTACAGAAGTCCAGAGGGATCTCGATAGACTGGGGCACTGGGCAGTGATTAATGGGATGCAATTTAACAAGTCCAAATGTCAGATTCTGCACCTGGGACAGAGTAACGCCAGGCACAAGTGTAAACTGGGAGAGGGGTGGCTGGAGAGCAGCCCTGCAGAAAGGGATCTGGGGGTGCTGGTGACAGCAGACTCCATGTGAGTCAGCAGTGTGCCCTGGCAGCCAGGAGGGCAAACACTATCCTGGGGTGCCCCAAACACACCGTAACCAGCCGGTCGAGAGAGGTGACTGTCCTGCCGTACACAGCACTGGTGGGGCCTCACCGAGTGCTGTGGGCAGTTCTGGGCCCCACAATTTAAGAAGGATGTGAAGGTCCTTGAATGCATCCAAAGGAGGGCAACAAAGCGGGTGACAGGGATGGAAGGCATGTCCTGTGAGGTGTGGCTGAGGACTTCGGGCTTGTCTAGTTTGGAGAAAAGGGGGCTGAGGACTGGTGACCTCATTGCTCTCTACAGCTTCCCGAGGAGGGGAAGCAGAGGGGGAAGTGTTGATCTCTTCTGCCTGGTATCCAGTGACAGGACACATGGGAATGGTTCAAAGTTGCCCCAGGGGATGTTTAGACTTGATGTTAGGAAGCATTTCTTTACCAAGAGAGTGATCAAACACTGGAACAGGCGTCCTGGAGAGGTGGTCAGCATTTAAGAGGCATTTGGACAATGCCCTTAAGAGCATGCTTTAACTTTTGGTCAACCCTGAATTGGTCAGGCACTTGGACTAGGTGATTGTTGTAGGACCCCTTCAACTGAAATAGTCTATTCTATTCTCTTCTGAGTCCTTGCAGGAAAATAAAGGGTGTGGGGAGAAAAGTGAAAGCAAGAGATTAGTATATCTAACATTAATTAATAGATTTGATTTGATTTTGAAATATGAATTGTATCTAAATTCTGTATCAGAAAACCCCAGTGACCATCTGCTTGCCCAATCATAGCTGACAATTTTCTAGAATTTTACATCAGGATCATATCATTTTCCTTTCTCACTACCCTTAAATACTATATACACCGAACTTTTGTTATCCTACTTTTCAGAAAAATGGCAAACACCTTCTGAACTTAAACACAGATTTAAAAAGAAAGCGTAACTATTTCAGGTTTGAGAAAGTTCATTATTGAAGATAAAAGGATGATGATAGAAAGATATGTTTCTCACCAGAAAGTTTACTTGAAATGTGGATGTGGGATTTAGGTGCCTGTGGAAATCCCTTTGGGTCACTAATCTGCATACTATGGACACAAGAAATTCTACAAACTCTAGAACTGTAACAGTGCACTCTTCCTTAAGAGTAAGGCTGTAACATTAGCAGATGTACCTTTTTGTTACAACAAAAAAAGACAGCAGGTGCTATAAATGATTTGCAGGATTGAATTAGCAAGGGCAAGAACATTCAGTAGCTGGGAATTTTAAGACTTTGAACATCTTGCCCTTAACTAACACAATTTTTTATCTATTAAATTATTCCAAGGTAAAAACGTCTGCAAATCAGTCAACCATGGCTGTGAGCATATTTGTGTTAGCGCTGACAATTCCTATGTCTGCAAGTGTCATGAGGGATTCACATTGAGAGAAGATGGCAAGACATGCAGAAGTGAGTGACCAATATCTATCGAACATTTTTGTATGTGCATCAGGCAAGGAAAGAAGGGGTTTTTTCACTTCTTACTGGAAAAAACTTCCTTCTGATATCTACATTTTTTTTAACATGTTCTCATTTGAAATCTGTATTTATATCAATCACTCCCAGGACGGGACATCTGCAAATCAGTCAGCCATGGCTGTGAGCATATTTGTGTTAACGAAGCTGACTCATATGTTTGCAAGTGTCACGAGGGTTTTCTGCTGAGAGAAGATGGCAAAACATGCAGAAGTAAGTACTCTGATAATTACTCATAGACTTTTATCTACAGTATGTAGATTTGTGGAAGTGTTCGAAGAAATACAACCACCATGGTTTACTGTTATAATATAGGAGTAGTATTGTTATATCTGCCAGAAGCTTGCAAGACACGGTGGACAGAAATAGTGTATTTTAATAGCCAAACTGTTACGACTGGACACAAAGAAGACTCAGAATTTTTTTCAGGTACCAAGAGTTAGAAGTGTTTGCTGCCTAAATTTTTGCCCATTTCTTCCAGTGATATCAGTGGACTAATAAAAGCTATTACTTCTCCCTGCACGATACATTCGCTGTAGATGTGCTTTAACCAAATATCAACTATTCTCAGATAAAGACGTTTGCAGTTCAGTTGACCATGGCTGTGAACATGTTTGTGTTAATGCTGATGAGTCATACATCTGCCAGTGTTATGAGGGATTTGCACTAAGGGAAGATGGAAAAACATGTAGAAGTAAGTATCCTTATCTTTAATAGAAGATTTCCTTTCTAATCTGTGTATTCATAGACATGTTTTAAACACCGACAACCTTATTTTTTTTCCAGATAAAAACGTTTGCAATTCTGTTGACCATGGCTGTGAGCATGTTTGTGTGAACACTGATAGTTCATACATTTGCCAGTGCTATGAGGGTTTTGTATTGAGGGAAGATAAGAAAACATGTAAAAGTAAGTAATTTTACGTTGCTGTATTTTTTTGCACTCAGAGATCTACTGAAGAAGCATTGTGTTAGAGGTAGGTCTCCTTATGGGGAATTTTGCCTGACAAAAAGGAGGATAATATTTTTTTTACTAGGAGCTTATTACTTTTAGTCTTTACATTTTTTGAAATGTTCTCATTTGTCAAACTGTAGTAAATAAATTCTGAATTATTCCTAGATAAGGACATCTGCAAGTCAGTCAGTCATGGCTGTGAACATCTTTGTGTTAATAATGACGATTCATATACTTGCCAGTGCCATGATGGATTTGTACTAAGGCAAGATGGGAAAACATGCCGAAGTAAGTAGCTTATGATTAAAAGAAGAAATTTCATTTTCCTTTTATTAGGAGATTATTCACTGATTCATAGTGGTTAGAACGGAGTATTGCTCTCTACAGATTGTAAGACCTCTATGAATTAGTTATTGTTTGAACTAAGGACACATTTCAGAAAATCAGCCAATTTAAGGTTTGAATGTAACTTTTGAAATGTGAACTTCATTTCTAGATTATGTTGAGTTTTAATCTTGAGGATGTTGCTGTATTTTAGTTTGATGGGTTGAAGTTCTACTTGCCACTGTGTTGTTCTGTGTATATTCATGCAGATCACGATTTAAGCCGTTCCTTAACCTCTTCACATGTCCTTTTTTAAATGATAAGCAGATGAAACTCCTTCAGGCTATTTATATGTTTTCTAATCTTTTACTGTCTCTTCTTGCTCCCCTAAAACCTCTGCTATTTATCAGCATCCTTGTGGGGTACCACAGTGGTACAAAGTCTTCTAATAGGAGACACAGCAGGGTCCAGGGTAGAGGAGCTATAACTCACCTAATTCTTATTTGAATCTACCTATCTTTTTTATTTTTATCTTTTGTTTTTTAATCTATCTTTTTATATGATCAAAGATAGTATTAGTCTGTGACCAAGATATTCTGCTAGCACTTGTGTTCAGTTAGTTATCTACCATTATCATAAGCTGTTTAAGACTCTTAGTAACACAGATGTCCCGTATCCTGTAAGTACAGCCTTCATTCTTTGTTTCTAAATATATAAGCTTAGTTCTGGGTATTTTAAAATACATATGCTTTGCTGTTGTCCAGCTTGTAAGAAGATTCATGTCTCCTTGTATCAGCAGCTGCTCTATTTTTATTTGCCATTCTCTTAAAACTGGAGTAACCTACAAACTTTGTCGGTGATTATTCTGTATTTTCTCTTGGGTTGTTCATAAAAACGTTAAGTAGTAGAGGAGCAGGGCAAATTCTTAGAAAGAAAGCCACTTGTTCCCTCATTTACAATTTATTCTGAAGACCTTTCTAGCCAGTGTTATTCCATATAATGTTGATTCTGTTCTCTTAATCAAAATAAATACCAAGACTGCTGCCTTACTGAATGCTCCATTGTATGAATGGCATGAGCTTTACAATCCAGCCTCATAATTAATTAAAAAAATATTTTAGTTTTCCAGAATCTATTTTTCCATAACACCAAGTTGTTTAATATTCATTCTCTTTCTTTGATTTTACTCTGAATCAAGTTCCACATTATCTATTCCATTACTTTAATGCAGATCAATGTCAAGCTGACAGGCTCACAATGAACTACTCATCCTTTTCAAACACTGGAACAATAGTGTTTTTTCAGTGTGTGTACATACACTGGGGATGCACTCAGTGTTTTGGGGCTTCCTTGGAGTTCTAGGAGTTACTGAAAAATAGCACTAAGCGTCCAAGTTGTTCTTCAGCCAGTTCTTTCAAACTCTTCACTGCAAGTTACGGATTTAAAAATATGTGTTCCGTAGGTGGTGTATGACCTACTTCTCAGCTGATGAAACGCTTCACTCCAATGTCATCAGTAGCCTATTTCATAAGTTCAGATCTGACTACACTAAATATTTTTAACATTTCTGCAGTAAGATTGGCAATTCTACCATTTCTATCTATTAATTAACAATATATTATTATAGTGCTTCTTGTTCCTAATAGTCTTTAAATAACTTACTCATAGTATCCTTTATTTTGTTGGCTATGAACCCCCTTGTCCTTTATCTTATTATTTCAGTGTTTTCAAATTCCTAATACTTTCATGTTCAGTAAATACTGTGAATGATCCTTTCTTTTAATCATTATTCAAATCTTACAGCTGTTTTCAAGTTCAATTTCTAAATGACATTGTTTTTTTAACTACTCTGGCATTTCTTTTAGATTATGGGACTACATTTTTGGAGGGTATCTAGTAAAATAACCGTAAATAGTGCCATCATTCACTTCTTTTATTTTTTTATTATTTCCCCCCATCCCAAAATACTCTGGCTCATAGTTGCTTTCAGCTATGTAAAATTTATCATTTTGAAGTAATAGTCATGTCTGCTGCTGATGTGTATTTGTTTCTGTTTATAAAAAACAAATGTGTCTGAATTGCATACAGCTGTGTATAAAGAGATGTTAATTTTTACATACATGACAATTTCTTCTTTATCTGCTATAATGGGATCTAGTTTAGATTGCCATGTCTTAAATGTAATGCTTGTTGACTTAGAAGACTGTCCTCTGCAGTAGTTTTTGGAATTTTTTTATTGGCAGCATGAGGCTTCCAGGTAATTTGGCTCAAAATGAGTTCTTGTAAAAATAAAAATTTTCCTTCCCTACACATTAAACCTAAGTAGTTTGCTGAAGAGTCAGTCTGAACTTGGCTGTCAGTACTGTTTTACTTTCTATGTAAGGATAATTCCTTTAGCATTTGAGAATATTTTCTTTGGTCTTGCAGTGAAAAAGAAACAGGGAATGCTGATAGACGGCTCCACTTCCTTCTGTACTTTCTCTCCATTTATCCTTCCTGAAGAGGTTTTAACCAACTGGTTTTAACATAGCAGTCATACAAATCCTCCCATCAATTTTTAGCAATACCAGTTAGATTTTATTTATCCTCTTAAATGAGTATTTCCTATTCTTCTGGTGTTTGTTTATGCAGACTCTTGACACTGATGTAAGGATGGTAAAGAATTCTTTTTCTTCATGTCCTGTGGTGTTTTGCTTAATTTTGGTTTTACCAGCATGACTTTGTGCTAAATGACTGTACTGAATTATTCCCTCCTTTGACTCTTACTGCTCTTAATGTAAAGTCCTCCTCCTTGATCTCATCAGATTAATCCTAAAATGATTTATTGTCAGTGGGAGGCCATCCAAACTATGCAATTCTTTCTGCTCAGATGGCAGAGAACTCATGCTCCATATAAGCTGTCTATCATTTAACTAGCCAGAGATTTGCTTTCAGTTTACAGGCTTCCATCTTTGCTTATGGGATTACCCCCACTGCATTTGTATTTATAAAAAAAGTTTATCTAGCAAACCACATTAAATATTATCTAACTGTTCCCAGGCGAGGATGTCTGCAAATCCATCAACCATGGCTGTGAACATGCTTGTGTTAATGCTGGTGATTCGTTTGTTTGTAAGTGTCAGGAGGGATTCCTGCTAAGAGAAGATGGAAAAACGTGCAAAAGTAAGTAGTCTGGTATTTATCGGCATACTTTCTTTCTGCAGCTTATGCTTGTGTAGAAATGCATTAAACAGCAAGAGCTGTCATCTGTTTTCAGATAAAGATCTTTGCAAATCAGTCAGCCATGGCTGTGAACAAGTTTGTGTTAATATTGATGATTCGTATATCTGCAAGTGCCATGATGGGTTCCTACTGAGAGAAGATGGGAAAACCTGCAGAAGTAAGTAGCATAAGAACTTAATTTGATGAATTACACATATAATCGAGGCCTCTGCTGGTGTATGCTGACTACCAACTCTTCTGTTTGCAGACAGTGATATTTGCAATTCAGTCAACCACGGCTGTGAACAAGTTTGTGTGAATACTGAAGATTCCTACATCTGCGAGTGTCATGAAAAATTCGTGCTGAAGGAAGATGGAAAGACATGTAGATGTGAGTAGCCTGAACTATAAAAGTATGTTTTTATTTGAGGCTTTTAAGTGTTGTGACTGTGAGTGTTTGCACATGTGTATGTTTGTGATTTCCAACTATTTGAGCTGGTTAATAAAAGATATTATCTCTCCCTAATGAACCTCACCTCACAAACTCCATCCCCTCTTCTCAGATAAAGATGTTTGCAACTCAGTTGACCATGGCTGTGAACATATTTGTGTTAATACTCATGATTCCTATATCTGCAAGTGTCATGAGGACTTCATACTGAGGGAAGATGGGAAAACCTGTAGGAGTAAGTTGTTTAATCTTTGTTTTGTACTTCCTGATCTGTTAATGAAACACACTATGCAACAGTGTTGTGTTCTTTGTGACTTTAATATAGAATCAACTTCATGGAAGTGACCTCTTTCATGGAAAGCTATTGCCATAATTTTTACAATTTGTGAAAGTTATTTACCTATTTAACTGTGCTAAATATGATTTTCATTATTCCAAGGTAAAAATATCTGCAAAAGAGTCAACCATGGTTGTGAACACATCTGTGTTCCAACTGGAGATTCATACAGGTGTCAGTGTCAGAAGGGATTTGTATTGAGGCGAGACAGGAAAACATGCAGGAGTGAGTAGCTGATACTTTTATGGGGAATATGTTTTTTCAGTCATAAAAAAAAATAACAGACTTAATTTCACTCAAAGCTTGTTCATACCAGTTTTGCATTTCAGAAATGTTCTCATAAGGAAATTCTCTTAACAATTTTCAGGTAAAGACCTGTGTAAATCCATTGACCATGGTTGTGAACATGTGTGCATTAATAATAACAATTCATACAGCTGTCAGTGCCATGAGGGTTTTGTCCTGCGACAAGATGGGAAAACATGTCGAAGTAAGTAACTCGGTACATCTGTTAGACACTCTTCTCTGGCATTGCTACATGAACAAACAAAGGTGTTATACGCCTTTGTCATACATTCTTCAAGTATCATGTTTGGAGTCTCTGGATTTATAAATATGTTAAATTGAATACACATAAATATTTCAATTTTTCCTAGATAAAGATGTCTGCAAATCAGTTGCCCATGGTTGTGAATATATTTGTGTTAATAATGAAGATTCATACATCTGCAAATGCCAGGAGGGATATGTACTAAAAGAGGATCAGAAAACATGCAGAAGTAAGTACATTTTCTTTAGAAAGCATGTGTTACTTTGATTTATAAAATTACTTGACCTCACTTTAAATGCCTCACTTCAAAAATGATACAATATTTGAAAACCCAAAGCATGTGAGTGTGTGGAAAATGTCTTGAATAATTAACTTGATGCTCTCGTAAGCAAAAAACCATCAAAGTGGAACAGTTGTTTTGGTATAGCATCACGTATGATAATAGTTATTTCCAAACATCAGGAAAAAAGCCAAAGTGAAATCTTAGTATCAAGAAATGTGTTCTTTAATCAGATTCATATACTGTGGAGCTTTTGTCTTTATATACTCTATTTTAAAATATCATTAATTCTATTTGCTTATCTTCCAACATGATATGCTTAGAATATGACATGCATTTATCTCATCACCCCTTAATATTTAGAGGAGAAATTCTTCTACTGGAACTCAGTAAAAACATTTGTTCTGCAAAAACAGATGCCTTCACTGGGGAGACTGTCATTACCAAAAGAATGGTAACATGTTCATGGCTGATCTCAATCCCATCTAAAACCATTCACTGTGAACTGCTGCCCTATCTTCACTTATGCAACAATACTGAGATGGTTCCAATATTCACATTCATTGCATTTCCATTGCCTTAGTACGTGTGACATCTTTTCCTCAGATGACTGCAGCAAGAAATTCTTGGATGGCAGTTTTAAAATAGAGCTGTTGTCTAAGAATAAAAGCCCAAGCTTTAAAGCTGAAAATTCCTTATTCCTACACTGACGTGGTAACAGACATCTTCAGTAATTTCTGCAGTCAAAGTGATTTCTGCTGCACAGTTCTCTCTTGCATAGTGCTAACAGCATTCTTACTATACAATCATCAGAGATGAGCAGAGGTCAAAGTTCATTTGGTCCAGACTAAGATGCAAATCTTACATTCCTTAGCATGCCAAATTCTCCCTGGAAGTTACATTGATCAAATAGGAGCTGAGCATCTCTGCAGCCAGCCCCTTGCACAAAGCACACTAGTCTATGACTGCTGGAGGCAGTTGCTTTCCAGAGTAAAAAAACCCCACCTGGCAGAACTAGTCTGCAGCTTCATAGGCATTCTCTAGTCCCTAAATTCTCTAACCTTGTCATGGATGCATGATGCCTACAAACTGCTTTGATTTTTGCATGTGCACTTGCCAAAAAGTATTAGAACTTCAAATCTGTTAGTCTCCTGACAAACTCCCAGCTTTAATAGGTAAACTAGAAAAGGTTAATTTAAGCAATACATAGGCCTCCTGATTACAAGGTTCTTAGAGAGTTACAAGGAAAAAAAACTTACATAAACAATTCTGATCCATGTTTAGCAGCTAGGCACATTTCTAGCATTCACTCTCTCACCTATAGTTTTTTAGCTGTTTTTCTGCCACTAGAGGTTTAAGTTTGTGCTATAAAAACATGTGCGTTGTCTGAATTTTGTCCCCAGACTTGAACCTCATCCTAAGCTCTAGGCCAGGCTACCTAACCCTTCTCTTCTAGCTCAGCCTTCCCCAAACTCTTTGGCTTTTGCCTCACTCTACCCTGCCTCTCCAATTATGACTCCTAGATTTTCATCTTACATACGAGTGTGGCTTCACTGACTCATTTCTTTGTACTACCTTTACCCTTTTTGCTACTTCTGCAACACAGATGCAGCTCCAATAATGCTCTTCCATGTCTTTCAGTGCTGGTCATCTACACAAATTTAAAGTTAACATACTGGCCTATCCCTGGAATAAAATGATGGCAACTCTGTCTCTATATCCTCTTCAGTTACACAGTTTTCTCCCCTTAACAGTCATTCTTAAAATTTGCTGATTGTTGCTGTATTTTTAAGGGTTGTAGTATTCTGCAAAGCAGTATGTCTCACTGTGATTATATTTTAGTTAAACTCGTGGTCATAGACACACTCTTAGCTTTTGATGTAGACTGTACAAAACATCTTTAGACACACTGGCAAAGCTTGGACGAGCCAGGAACAAGGTACTCTAGATGATCCCTGAGTTTATGCAGTCCTTAGGTATCTAGATCCCTTTTTCAGCTTTGTGGAGGTTTTTTTTTGTGAGCTGAACACTCTGCTGCTTATTTCACAGGATGCACTGAAGGCCCACTTGACCTCGTGTTTGTGATTGATGGATCAAAAAGTCTTGGAGAGGATAATTTTGAAATCGTAAAACAATTTGTCTCACAAATCTTGGATGCACTTGAGATTTCACCCAAAGCTGCTCGAGTTGGTTTGCTTCAGTATTCTACTGAAGTTCGCACAGAGTTTACGCTAGGGCAGTTCAGCTCAGCCAAGGACATGAAGAAAGCTGTATCGCAAATGAAATACATGGGGCGAGGTTCCATGACAGGACTGGCTCTGAAGCAAATGTTTGAGAGAAGCTTCACAGAAACAGAAGGAGCAAGACCATTTTCAGCAAACGTCCCTCGAATCTCCATCGTGTTTACGGATGGACGAGCCCAAGATGAAGTCTCTGAGTGGGCTGCTAGAGCAAAGCGAAATGGTAAGTGGAGATGGTTTTGACTCATTCTAAATGACAAATATTGTTACAAATAAGATGTAGTAGTAATGCAGATGTGCTACAGTGTGTGTTAATCAAGAGAGCGTTTGCCATAGCAGCCTGGCTAGTAGTGACTACTGCAGCAGAGCATCGGATCTTTGGTGTTCAGAGGAGCCTCTGCTGCAGGGCATGTATGTCATCCCTGGTGCGGGACCCGTGACAAGTGTCTCACCACTGGGGCTCTGTGCCATCCGCAGGCAGTGGTACTACCCACCTGGCATGCCAGGCAGTGCCCTGAACATACCCACTAAGGGTAGACATTTGATACAGAGATTTGGGAACACTAGGAACTTCATAAAAAATTCTAAGAAAACAACAAAATAAACCCGCAACCTGTCTCTTCAAAACAGAAATCTATCTTCCCGAGAAATATTATGGTAATATTTGGTTGTGTTATATTTTTATTTAAATATATTCTGTATTTTTAACCAGTTTTATAGTGCTGACGGTGTTCTGGAAGGAAAATGGGTCCTCTTTACAAAAGGATATAGCTGTAGTGCTGTCTGTCTTTCTGTTTGTACGTGCCTTATCAGATGATATGCTGAAACGTAACTGAAAACTGGTAATTTTTAATTTAGAATATGTCTGGGCAGAAATCCATCCTTGAGGTCACCTGTACCACAAATCAGAAACTTTTCAGCTGTGTAGCAGAGTCAACTGAAAATTTTCAAAACTTTTCAAGAAACAAAGGATCCCTTTTTTCTTTGCAAACCATTTTCTGTTTTATGAGAAACTGCTTTAAGAACCATGGCTGATGGATCACAACAAAGAGAAAATAGGCAGATGCTGCACATCTTTTTTCTGTTCTTGTTATATTGATTTGATATACTAATCATAACTTGATACATGATTAGTATGCTGTTGGTGAGGACTGATACCTCTCTGTAATAAGAAAAGGGGAAAATGTCCAAGGATATGAGAAGAACACGTGTTAACGAGGGTGCCATTACAATGAAATACAACCAATTGTTTTTTAAAATATTAAAAACAAAGCAAAGGTTTATACGCTAACTAGTGAGATCTGGGAAAGTACATGGAGGATTTACAGGACTGAAGAAGGAAAGAAGTACAAGCCAACCTTGCTCACTTGATGAATGAAACCTCAGCTCGGGACTGCTTACACTGATATTTGTAGTGATACAAGCCAAATCCATCCCCCGTGTAATTGTGGCGTAGGCAATGTAGTAATGCTGAATATGAAATTGGCCTTGAATGCTTTATCACTGGTATCTCCAAGTCTTTAAAAAGCAACAGGCCTCAGTATGAGTGGTCTGTTCATTAAACTGGATCAGCTTCTGGTAAATATTTTACTTTCCTAGCTAAAGTGCAATGGTAGGCAGATTCATGACAAAAAGTAAGGAGATGCTTATGTTAAATGTTAGAGTTGGAAAATGTGTGAGTTGGAAAACATGTGTTTTATGATGTTACCAGGTCCAGAATTCTTCAACAAAAAGGTTAAAGTTGCAACTTAGTGACCAACAATTTAGTGACCGTATAGCTGTTATTACCCAGCGATGATGAAGAGATATCAAACCTCCTCAGCCTAAGTTTCATCTGAAACCAGGCAGTTGGTTTGAAATCTTAAAAAAAGAGCTTGAAATACTATGAAGCTAATAGTTGTATTATGAATCACAAAATCAGTACTAGTTGTGGACACTTTCTAAGCCAGAATTGATGCAAAGAGAAATGCTGTATCAGATCACATGTTCACAAGAATAAAAAAATAACTGCCAAAAAGGGGGATATTGAAGATCATAATGTTTCGTATTCATTGCTTGTTTAAAAATCTGTCTGGTGACAACACTGTGAACCATGTCTTCCTTCTCTGTTAAAAAAACTACAAATCCTCATTTACTTTTGCCCTAGCACTTCTGCTGGGGAAATGCTTGTCCCAAGTATCCCTGGTGTAAGGCTCTTTCTCTCCTAGCCCCACAAAATATTTATTTTCCCCTGTGGGAATATACAGGTTATATAACTATATAGGTCTATATATAACTATATAATATATAACTAATAGGTCTGCGTGTCTTTGCAGTGCCTCCCAGCCCACTGGTGTCCCCTTAAGAGTACAAGAATCTAGTCTCAATGTGCTCTAACAATTTTGATGAAACACTAAGTATTTGTAGTCTTCTAAAAAAAAAAAAAATGCTGCCATCTTTTAGGATGCTGCCTCATTTGCTAATATATAACAGGTCTTCCCATCAATCTGGTCATTAGCTTTTGTGTATGTATGGTGTGTACAATAGACAAACAAACCAGGAACTTTCAGTGCAACTGTGAGGCTGACTTCTATAATTCTCTTGGAAGCTTTGCAGTACTCTTTCTGGGTTCATTTACTATCAGTAGTAGCCAGGAAAATGTCATCTCTTTATCCTAAATTCTGAAGTTACACAGCATATACATTTCTTGTGCTCTCCCTTTCTCTCTAAAATGACTAATGCTCATATTTCCCTTTCATGAAGGAACAAGGGTTTAGAACTGCTGATGTAATAATTATGTGCAATTTCTTTTGAATCTAGGTATAATTATCTATGCTATTGGAATAGGAAAAGCAATTGAGGAAGAACTGCTAGAAATTGCTTCTGAGCCACCATATAAACATCTCTTCTATGCTGAGGATTTCACAGCTCTGGAGGACATAAGTGAAGAGCTAAGAGCCCAAATCTGTGAAGGTAACAGTATTCCACTTTCACTGAGCTAGAAGAAGAATGAATACTTAAAGATTTTTTTGCAGCCCTAAAAGGACAACTAGTGTCATAGTATACACCATAGTTCATTGGTGTCAGACACTGCAAGGCATAAATCACTCACAGTAATTTTTCTGCCCTTTAGTGTGTGAGGAATATATAACCTTAATCCATCATCAGGTAAAGATATATAATAAATGTCTTTATTTTCATAAAAGTTGCATAAAACAGACACTTCTGTGCCCAGAAGAATCAATTGCTCCGTCCCTTTTCTTTTTCTACAGCTAAGTCAGCCATGCACTGAACCCCACCCTGACAAAGAAGCATGATCTATTTCATCAAGAATGTGGGAAAATAATCAGGGATTTGTAATGTCTTAATAAGAATAAAAAATTACTCTAAAGACCAGTGGCAAAAAACCTAAACCATAGCAAAACAAATCATCAAGAGCTGTTGTACATATTATTTATAGAAGACTAGAAATAGTTCATTGAACATACATTCACAGCTACAAAGAGTGGATCTCAGTTATGCATAAGCTCCAAGTTTTGCTTCACAAGTGTGGAAGGTTTATTCCAGAAAGCACCCTTCCTCACTCTGGCACAAACAGCCACTATATAAACATTCCCAGCTGAAGTTTTGCAAGGAGAAGAGGGAATGTGAGCTGGGACGAAAGCTGTTCAGCCAGAGAGAGGACAGCATGTATCTCCCACTCACACATTCCCAGGGCTCGGTATTATTTGTACATTCAAATTGGTACCTGAAGCAAAATTCAGAAACGCCACTGTGAGTATTAGTCACAGCACTAGAATCGTGCAAGATTATTTAATTTTCACTAGCTTTTATTTGGTTATTTTTCTTGGAATTAAATGCAAACAGGTTTCATTTCCTTCTTTAACATTACTGTGTAAAATAGGCTGGCAATCAGCACTGCATTTCTTCCTCATATAGATGTCAAGGAAGAATCTGAAAAAAAGAATCTGAGAACGTTTCTTACCTTGTATAGTCTTTGTGTTTCGGTCCTAAGAAGTCCTATCTTTACAAAATACAAAATACTATGATAACATGAAACCAAGTCTGTTCAATTAACCTTCTTATTAGGCAGATAATCTGCTGATGACAGCATGTCATCTTAAAAGCTTGGGGAGATGCCAAAGCCAAAACTATCTGGCAACTGGTATAGTACTCACTAGCAAACCCCAGAGCTCAGTGATAGAAATGCATCCTTCAGCTACCCACAGCAGCATTTAACAATCACGGTTTTCTTTTCCCCCTTTTTTTTTTTTTTAACTATGTTACGTTATGAAAAGTAAGTAAATCCTGCCCCTCTGTGGCAGTTTCTAGACTACACCTCTAGTAACAGCAGAGCTGGTGCCCCTCAGCTTCTGTCCTCCTCTCTCGCCGATAAGCAATGCCTCATACCTGTGAACTAAGGACTGACCCAGCCCTGTTTTTCTGGACACTTCAGGACTACCTACTGATCATCAACTCAAGCCACCAGACATTCTGCCTCCAAGCCTGTTACACAAGCTGAAAGTTCATTTTTTTCCCCCCCTCTGTTTTGGTTTACAGCCTAAATTTTTCCCCTCCTTTGCAGCAGCAGTAATTTCATTTTAACTCCAGTTGTGGTCTTTAGCTTAACACTTCTGAGGCTCCAGCCTGCGAGGGCAGTGGGAGACACTCTGAACCTCCTGGACCCCCTTAACAAAGCCTCTCAGCCCCAATACCAAGCTGTGGCTGGGCTGCATGTTTCCAAGTAAAGCAGGACCCTTCCACATTACTTTTGGGTAAGTCTTTTTTCCTTTTATTCTGCAAGCAAGCATCAGCCTTATAGAAGAGCTGCTGATCAATTATTCTTGATGACTAGTAGTAAAAAAAAAAAAAAAAAAAAAAAAAATCAGGAATTCAGTTGAATGTTCCCAGTCGTTGCCTTGGTTAATGTTCATTTCTCATCTGACTGGAAGAACTAACGAGGCTACAGCAATGCCATAGATAACACACACTCATCATGATTGCCTCTTCACCCCTGTTCTGATCATGTGCATTATGGGAGCCTTTAATTACATGGTCACATACTATTTTTATGACAAGACCCCGGCCCTGATCAGATGACAGTACTCAGCAGTCTGCTGGTTAACACTCTGTTCTCCTTCCAAATTGTGGATCATTATCACTGCTGCAAATAGTCAGCCACTGCTTTTGAAGACATGCTTTTTTGAAGACACTTTCTCACAAGTTTTTCCTAACAAAATGCTTAGATTTTGTTACAAAACAGAACGCTAAAAACAAACACCCAACAAATTTCAGTACTGCACTGACTTCATCAAGGGATTCTGTTAGGGTTATCAGCTGCTGTTGCTTACCTAATTATTTACGGATTTACAGAAGTGATGAGATCAAAAATCTCTGGGCCCTAACCAGCTTCTGAAGCCCGAAGAGGAGTTTCTGAAATTCCCGATTCCCATCCCAAACTGGAGACAGCCTGCCACACCTCTACCAGTACCTATCAATCTTCTTTCCTGTCCCTTACATCTAAATCTTAATTACTTGTCTACACCAACTCAGTGTCCAAAGCTCAGACTTTTACAGGTCAGTTCCTCTGCCCTTCCTAGACAGCCTCATTAGCCTACAGCTCTTAAACAGCTTCTAGAGCAAGTCATTACCTAGGATCAAACACTCAGGGTTCATCTTACCTCTCACACTGGAAATCCCACCATCCATGCTCCCAGTTGATCATTCTTCTGCTAAACACACCCAGTTTGTTTCATTCCCTACCTTGCAATCTCATCCCACACCTCTCTGCCCTGACCTCTTCTCCAAAATCAGTGTTCCTTCTACCAGCTGGCTCCCAGACTTTTTGGTATATATACTATAGTTCTGACCACTGAACTCTGGTCATCTTACTCAACCACTCATCTCCGTTCATTCCCTGTTCCTCATGTTCAGTCATCCCAGTCCCCACAGAGGGTCTCATCTCCTTCCCAGTGCAACGTCACACAGCTGTGTATTATCATGCATCTGTCAAAATTCACTAGACCAAGAGACATCCCAATAGCTGTAACAAACCTGTGGGGCCTAGAAGCACCTTCCATCTCCCTACTGCATCTTCACAGCATGTATCAGGGGAGTTTGCACCGTCACCTTTCACTCCCACACATTCACTTTCAGTGAAGGAACTCTGGGTATGTCTGCAGGGAAGATGTTCCAGATGCTCCATCCACTCCCCTGGCATAGTTAATCAAGTCGTGCAGTAGTTAAGTGTATATTCTTCAGCTCAGCTGGGCCATTAAGGGTTCCACAGTTGACTGAAGGTTATTTACTTTATAGACAAGAACCCACCCTTAAGGCACCAAAGTTGCCTCTACATTATCCTCTTGCGGCAAGAAAGGAGTAGTGCACAGAATGACTCCTGACGTGGTTATACACCTACATATAAAACAGGTTTCCATTTCTTCCTAGACACCCTTTGACTAAAAGGATGAGTATATGGAGTTTGAAGTAAACTTCTACATTTTAAAGGCTGTACTTCATTAATTACAAACTGGTATTTTTGCTTATAACTGTAGCGCATCAAATAAACTGTACTGCACCTTTCTCACCTAAACACTCCAGACTCCCTGATCAATATTTCCCATTATAAAGCAGAAAACTGAAGGACAGTAAAAAATTTCTAACTTCTCCAAGTAGTTTTTATTCTTATTCCGTTCACCCCAAAGGACCGATGGGTGACAATGAAATATGCAAGAATTTTCACTAAGGGACACAAAGTAGGATGCTGTCATTTCACATTGCTTCACTACTATTAATCTATTTGTAAATAGATTAAAATCTGGTTTTGGAATAGTTCCTCTGATAGTCTGAGTTGAAGGGTGAGTCCTGGAGTTTCCATGATCACTGGACCTCTTCTAACTGCACAGGTATGAGACATTCTCCATGTGTTGGGAGATACAAACACCAAGTTCTGGTAAGAAATATCTCCTTTTCTAGGGAACATGAACATTTTTACTGCTCCTTTTGTAATCTCATTTCCTTTGGCAATTTCTTTCTACCAGCCTTGAAAAAGCCAGCTCACCAGCAGGATCCATCATCTGGGAGGCTTCATAAGATGGGTCCACAGCCTTCAGGTTGGCTATTTTAACTCGGTGTTCTGCTGTATCTCCAGATCACTGCCAAGTTGCCTCTTCATGCTGCCTTCTGTAGAGAAGGCTAGCAATTCACCTTTGAGAACTGTTCCTTCCCATTCCCCTTCCCACTCCCCTCTCTGCAATTCAAATCTGATTTGTACGAAAAAGTCTGAGATTCACTAACAAACGCATGGCTGCATGCTTCTTACACCATCCAAATGAATTACTTCACGGGGAAACTTGTATTTCAACACTGTTGCTTGATATTTTAAAGCATGTTCAGCTTTCAATCACTTATGTTTCTCACAGGAACCTTCACAACTCCCTTTCAGTTCTGCAACCCACAACTTGTATCATGTATACAGTAAACGCAGCCTAACAGCTCGGTTCCTTCACATCTTTGTATCCCTAGTCCTCTCCATGAATGATCCTCACTGCAATCAGTGAGATTACTAATTAAGGAGAACTCTGTGCATGTGAGTAGAAAAAAAATACTGTATAATTAAATGAAGTGGGTTTGATTTTTAGACTTTTGGGGGGTTTCCTGCAGGACCTGAATCAACAACGATAGACATCACAGATGTCATTGCCTGTCCCAATCTTGCAATCCATCACCAGTATCTTTTTGAAGACAGTCACACTCACTCAACAACAGGTAATCAGGTTACCTTTGTTTAAATTAATCCAGACTGCTCTTTGAATATATAGACCTAAGTGTTGTGTATTATTTTCCAATATTTACAAAATCTGCCCCAGAGCATTCCTTTGGATGTTGACCTGTTTTGAGAACAGGAAGCGGTATTTAATCTGCTCTGCATTTCTAAGTCCTTGTCATCTCCTCCCCCATCCCATTCAATTTATTCAGCATTTAGCCTATGCTTGTCTTGTTTCTGTTTTTCAGCAAAAGCTTCAAAAGATAAAGACCAGTGCAAATGTGAAAACCTTGTGACATTCCAGAACTATGCAACAAACGAAGTAAGAAAACTCACCCAGCGATATATCCTTTCAAAATAATTGCTTCTTACATGTAAGACAAGATTACAAGAAACTGTAACACATCAAGTCTAAGCTGTCTCCATAGCTCAAATCAATCTACTGTAATGAAAAACTAAATTACTTAATAGATGTTAATCTCCAAGAAGCAAGGCTTTTAAGGCTTGAAATCTGCCTCTCCTTCATAGAGTTGACCAAAATTAATTAGGATATTAGCTTTTAATAATCCCTAACAGTAAACACCTTCAGGGACAGCAAAGAAATGACAGGTCAAATTCAAGACTAACTTTTTGCTTTGTGTTATTTCTTCAGATGGTATCAAAATAGCATTTACTGGCAACAGGAGTCAGAATGCAAGAGATGTTTCCCTTCTGAACTGAATGGTGAAACACCAGATGCAGTGAGTCATTTAAAATAATACTCTAAATTAAGAGGAATTCAGGGGACTGAGGTCTGATTAATTTTGCATAAATTTTATCATACACTGATAAAAATTATTTAAGTGCAGATCAATAGCTTCCTCCCCCAATTAGTCCGTCTCTTCCAGGGAGCTGTTAGTACAGTAGCCTTTACACCAGATGCCTCAGGAGTGAACAGGAACAAATTGGCAATACAACTTTCTGCAATATTTTGCATGATGCAGTATGATGCATCAAATTTTTTTTTTTTTTTCATGAAAGCCACTTCTGCCTAATCAAATAAACAGTAAGAAGATATCACATCTTCTATTTAAGTTTTGTAACTGTGTGCAAGATCAACAGGCACTTACGTTCCGCACAGAAGAGTGAAGCGATACCAACAGCTCATAACTGTGTGCTTCCTAGACAGGAACAGCTTCAGGCTGAGGAACCTGTGGAGTTAACTGTCTGTCCAGTCAGGCTAACAGAGCGCTCGGTGGTCGTGAGAGCAGGCAAGACCACAGAGGACTTTGATAACCCGATGCAAAATACCGCCTACCAGTTCAGACCTTACCTCTAGCTATTTTGTGTAACTGCAGTAGCCAGCCTCACTTTCTCACCTTCCCAAGTGAACCCTTCAGCAGGTAGCTTAAGGAATCACACTCTGATCACTTGAATAATTTTAAATTATTCCATGCAAAGTAGAATTACTTCATAAAGGGAGAGAAAGCCATCATGTAAGTTATTGCTAGGTGCTTCAAATGTTCATCAACATTTATACTGCTCTGAAGGGATTTCTCCAGTCTCTAAATGACTTAGGAGAAAAAAAAAAATCTAGGTAATTTCCCCATATCCTTAAGAGCATTATCCAGACACACACAGTTCCAACCTAGATGCTGACAAGAAAGGAGACCATTCCTTCCCCCTTCAGCTGAAGCCTTAGCCTCTCTACTGTAACCTCCTGCAGCTTGGCTATGAGAAACTGAGCTTACTCAGAACAGAACAGACCTTAGCAGCATATGGTTTTTTGCTTTACAATTTGAGTAGGCAACCCTGTGATTTTTAAAGAGTCTGAGAAGGACTCAAGGTGATGGAAAAGCAGCTGAGACTGAGCCAAAGACCTATGCATTTTGATAGGAACAGTGCCAAGCACTTCCCCAAAGCACTGTGCAACCACTGCTTTGATCAGAGTAAGAAATATGCAGTTTACTCTCCATTATAAATTTAATTTCTCTGCCTTATCTGAAGAGCAGCTCAGGTAGTGATATACTAGTTCTTGATAACTGTGTAGGACTTGCTGGTCAGTCCCCATACCAGGGATCTGGAGGGCAAGGGAGAACTGGCTACAAAACCAGCTCCAGTTACAGAATATAAATTCAGAGGAACCAATCCAAACTGTTGATGATTTGTATCCAACTTCTAACTAACCCGTAGATGAGTGCAGTTTCAACTGCTTGAACCTTACCTCTGTAAACACTTGAGAAACATTAATGCTGCATAGAAATCAGCTCAAATGATGCCAGCATTCATAATCATCCCCTCTGCGTGACAGACAGTTGAGGAATTACCAGACATAAACCTGCTGTATGGGCAGCACGGAAGCAGACTCCCACTCTTGCTCCTTACAAGCGAGAGGGTAGGTTCTCCCGCTGTCAATGGGATGGGGGGGCACGCAGCACAGGGTGCATGGCTGTTCTGGCCAGACTCAGAGGCTGAATTCAATTTGCCTATCTGCCCAAAGCAATTTCAAACAGCCCTTTACCAAAGATCCCACTTTTACATGCCAAGTTTCCCATTTTTCCTTCTGCAAGGTCTCAGAATCAAGATACTAGACAAATGAGCCAAGAGTGGGGCGCAGCAACCTCATCCTTTTAAGATGGGCCTCAATGCCTCCAATTCTCTTGATGCTAGGTCCCCTCTTCCTCTCAGCTTCCCCTAGCTCAAGCTTTACCATGGCTCTTAGAGAGGTGCTCCGGTAAACCGCACGGATCCAACCTCTTCCTGCAACAGGCATAGCATCCCTCTCAGCTGGAGAGGATTATCAGGAAAGCGATGCTGTGCACTGCTTTACATTGCTACAGCTTCTTACTTTCAATGGAGCCAGCCACAGATCCAGTGGAGCTGCTCGTGATCTGCTCCACATCTGTCTGGAACTGCTGGCTCTGTAAAAACAGTACCTACACCACACCACCATAGGGCAGGAATGCAAGACCATCATCGGACATTCTCACTGCAGTCATGGAGCTCCGTACAGTTTTTTAAGCTACTGTTAGATGACATGTAGTTTTCCATGTGATTAAGTGAAACATTTTTTAAACAGCATTAACTAGGATATTTAGGTTCCCTTTAAAACAGAGAAAAATGCCCAGTTTTCAGAATCACCAGCCCTTTTAATAAGCTATAACCTGAACTCCCTGTCAAGGTATGCCTGCCAATGAATGAGGCTTCGCACAGCTTTCAACTCAGCTGATCAAAGCAGAACAAGAAAATACAGGGGAATATGGTATCAGAAACTACTGGGAGTCAAAGAGGGTAACAAAGAGAAGTAAGAGCAAGTTTATGGACCACAGCAATCAGGCAGCTGACACTTTTTCTATTAATGCATCCTATCAGTAGCTCTCTTTCCTTAACTTGTGTCTACTAGAAGAAATGACAAAGAGAATGGAAGACTTGGAAAACAGGCTAAAATACTGATCAAAATTTAAAGTGTATACTACACTGTATATTTATACATACAAAATTGTCAGAGCTATTTTCTTAAACTGGTTCAGAGTAAAATAACAAATCCTTGTGTCTGAAAAGAGTATTTTGGATCTCTGCATCTATATACACTATGTGTTCTGTCTTGCATTGATTGCCGATAAGAAATGTTAAAAATTTTATATACATAAACAATTTAGTAACTAGCAAAAATTCTAATTAAGCAGAACTAAACAACTGAAATAAGCTATGCAAAATAATAAAACGCTGTTATTTTTTTTTGAAGTGAAACCTCCATGTTTTGAAAGTACTTTTAGGGTATGAATTTATTTGGCTTTTCTGTTATTTCCCTCCTCCACTCACTACTAGTATTTTAAGCACCCTATCTGTGTGGATACATATGGTTCTATATATACATATACAAGCAGGCCAAGTGGGACAGCATTCATGGCAGTTACGTTTCACATATTCTTCAAACGAGTACTGAAATCGGTTGGAAGTAAAAATACAAATTTATACATTTGCATTGAAACTGTGATGAAAGTAAATGCGCAAAATGGAAAGTCTGCTGGATTATCAGCGTTTCACAATCCAAAGTTTCAAGTACTTTTTCTCTTCCTACATCCAGACCATGTAACTTCTCCCTACTGTTCCTTGGTCAGCATTCAGTGATTCTCTAACTCTCCTAAATGCAACTAGTATTTTAACAATGAAAACATTCTTTGGGCAATACAACTAGCTGCACACCTGTCTGTCAAACACTAAGACACAAAGAAAGCAAATTGCTTTCAGGCATTCTGGCCAACTAAAATGCCTTGAAGTTTTACTCCTTTCCCTTGGCAGCAATAGCATGCTTCTGCTAGCTTTACCTTCACACTAACAGATAGTTTAGATACTGCTGTTAAACTGATCCAAATCTGTGGTTTAATAGGTAGAGATACCAGCACTTCCTCCTTTGCTTTGACACACTTGGTTTGCCTCTTCACTATCTCCAAATGGAAATACTCAACTTCATGCATTCTATACCAGAAGCAGAGGTAGCTGCAGCAGAATTAGATTAATCTCAGATAAACTAACGAGTGTGCATAGATATGTAGCAGCAAGCATTAAAAGGTACCTTGTACTTTGGCATACTTTGGCAAACAATGAAAGTCCTGCAAAGATACCGGTACTTACTGATTTTCATTAGTGGCTTCTTTTACTCTATGTCAGCAAAGCACTGGCACCTCAACTAATAACCACTAAGGAACATCCTGCAGTCATGGGCTTTCACAAAACAAGCACAAAACTGTAAAGATAACAGTGTCCTCAGCCATGGTGACATGAGAACACCAACTCATCCATCTCCAACATGGTATCTTCAGAAAACTAAAAAATGGGACTAACTAAAAATCAGTTTTCATAAGTTAATTGGTATGTTAGGATGTAAAACATCATACTTTCAATGTCTAGCAGCTATCCTATTTGCCATTTGACAGATACATATTATCTTGGAAGGAAAAGACAAAGGGGATCATTTGCATTAGTACTTTGTGATTGACTTGGTAAAAACAGAGTGAATTTTTTAAATGTAAGTAAACCCTTTTGGGGTTTATAAGTAAATCCCTTTTGGGATTCCCCACCAACATCCCAAATTTGCTACTGCACCTCACATTATGCCTTGGTTTTGCTTTAGCACTCCAAAACTGAAAACCAAAGCCCTAGTCTGTTGGGATTTGGCACCATACTTGCCACGATCAAGTCTTCCTTCACCTACCTCTCAAGATCCACAATTTATTGAGAAAGAAACAGGCAAGTTTTGTCCTGTGAAGGTTATTTATAACAGAACAGGAAACACAGGAGTGATAATGAATCTTCATTTATATAGTTTGTTCCCTAAAACCAGCAAAAGTATAATACAAAATTTTTCTCAAAACAGATCTGTAACCAGTTTTATTGTAGAAATAACACCTTTACAGCATTTACTTCTCACTGGTCTGCTCTGGCATGCTTCTGATGATGTCAGAGTCACCTGTAAAACAAAAATACATTGTCACAAAAGGACCCACAGAAAGATACGGTTTTGGGAATAAGCCACAAAGTAAAAAAGAAACCTAACACACTGATTCTACAAATAAAAAACAACTTTAAAGCAATACAATCTGTCTAGAAAAAAAAGCAAGTCATTATGATGGCTTGATAAAAAAATACTTTTAGCTGTATTTTACTAATCCACACACAATATTTTTACAGTAACTATGTACCTGTCACTAGCATTTACAAAGCCAGTACTAGAGCAACAATCTAGTCCTGGAGGACACAATGCATAGTTTTAATATAGCGAATGTCTAGCCTCCCCTGATCACGGAAGTATCAGGACAGCGAGAATATTCGCATTGCATTACATAGTGGTAAGATTTACTTGCAGTTCCTTCCCCACCCAAAATGGAACCTAAAAGTAACATTCTGAAAATTAAGCTTACTGCTAGTATTTGAATACAAGCACACTAAATAAAGTTTTCTGAAGAAATGGTGAATTCAGACCGACATCACTTGGGGAACATTTGGTGAAAGTTATTACAGAAATTGTTAAATCTATGCGTATGCATTTTGGTCAACAGAACAACAGATTGACTCCTCTTAGAAGAGTCTGGAAAAGAGGAGGAGAAGTCACCTAATTAGCAGTCTATATAAGCAACTGTCAGGGACAAAGAGTGCTACCTAACCACAGTAATTATACAAACACAGTTTTAAAATGGAAAGTTTAATATCATTTTCAACCCTGCATTACTATCCACCTGCATAAGGTTATTTTTATATATATCATTCTAGAAAGCAGAACAACTCAGTCCTTTGTCTTAGATTGAGAACAGTCAAACAAGGTTGATACAAACAGTGTGTTGCACAAGCTCATATTCTAAAAGATAGACTCAAAAACATATACCATAAAGTTGCTTCCCAACCACTGAAACCTCATTAGACCAACAGGTAAACAAACTCCACATTCACAAGGCTTAGCAGTAAAAGGAGCTATGTGCAAACATAACCAGTTGTAATTCCAGGTTGTACGAACCTAGGACTCACAAAAGAACAGATCTTGGTCAGAGAAAATTACAATGAAGAGCTCAACCTGACAGAACAGGACAGCAAAGTGTGTCATCACCCCTGTGTGTTACTCTCTCAGTGCTGCTACTCACAGGTGGATGGAGGAACCACTGATACGTACTCGTTTGGTCACTATACTGTAACAGAGACATACCTGGGTCAATGATAGCCAGTGTGCACACTCTGTAGTATTTCCCGCAGGCTGTGCCCAATTCAATGTTGTTGCCACTATAATGATGGACACCAGTCTTGGCAAGCATAGCGTAGTACTCAATCTCCGATTTTCTGAAATTCAGAAGCTAGGTGTTACGGTACTGACAGACAATTCTGATTTGACTGTAAAACAGCGAGAGCAGCTTTAACTCCAATCACACTTAAACCTTACAGTCTTCCTTCCCCCCCCCCCCCCCAGAAAAACACATCTGTTCCTTGTCAGACAACATCACTATGGTGGTGTGGCTCAGGAACCCTCGTGGAAAAGTATGCTGAAGTTATGTAACAGCAAACCCATTTCTGAAGTGAAAATCCTTGAGGTTGCTCCTACACATGCTTACTTCTACAGGAAAGAAGGGGATTCAGGACTTCCAAAAGGTTGTAGGAGCTAAGCCAAAGTACATAAGTGATGACCATTATTAATGCTGATACCCAGTGGCTGAACAGACATCTGGCTGCCCCTAGCTGTGACAAAAACTGTACTTTTCATAAAAAAGAAGTCAGTCTATATGCCCTTCTCTTCTGACTTTCACCAGAAGATTCTAGTGGTCAGTACTGTTCCTTAAGAACTTTTGGGATCCCCACTAACATTGCCTACTGTAACAGCCCTGCCATCTCTCAAGCATCTTATTTTGCTTTTCTGCATTTATGGTTTCTTGAATCTGTCAATTTCCCTTGGTGGCAAAAAGGGTCCAGAAATTCAACACTGAAAATGTGAGTAAGTTAGCAAAGCTATCATTCTTAAAAAAGCAATTTCACTGGCCAGGAACCTAAGTTTATAACCTTCCTGGACAGCAAATTGTGTACTTCAAATATTTTAAATCAGTGTCAATTACCAGCTTTCTTACCTGTAAAATTATTTTCCAATACAGTACTTTGAAAAAATACAGGAATTCTGCCCCATTATACTTTTTACGAATGCTATCACAGTGTGAAAAGCTTCCAGTATCTTTACTAGCGCAAACTCTTTGAATTGGAAAGCTAGGAAAACATTAGGAAGCATTTCAACACATCCAGACCCGAAATCATTATATACCAACTTCTATTTCATAGCATTCTGGAATACGCCAGTAAAGTACTCTGCACTAATAATTCACTGTAGCAATTAACACGACATACACACTGTATTGGTACAAAGAACCTGCCCTGGTTTTAGACAGAATCGTTTCTTCATACATCTGCTTACCTCAAAGCAGGACAGTTGTTGGCTAGGATGACCAGCTTGGCTTTGCCCTGCCGAATCATTTTCAGAGTCTGTTTGTATCCTAGCACATATTTACCACTTTTCATAACCAGCTGAAGCCTAGAGTTTATGGACTCTAAGGACTTTTTCTGAAAAAGATGTAGACGTATGTTATTTTACATTTTGCAAAATGGCAGAGAACATAAGAAAATGAAAAAATTCCAAATTATTTAATAATTCCCCTACAATTTGAAACATGGAGTAAGAAAAGCCAGCCTACCATATGAGCATGAGAAAGCTTGTGGCAAGGGGGTTGCAAGTTTTCCCAACTTCATAAAAATATCTCTTACCCATGTACCTTGTAATAGGAAAACGCATCTTAAAGCCCTGCTGCTGCTATCTACATTAATAAGTAACATCCGGGTGTATTTGACAGGCCTTTATCAGAGCTCAGCTAGTTAAGTCCAAATAAATACTACTTCTGCCTTGCAAATTTAAGCCAGGTTCGGAGGATGTCTCTTCCTCGGGTGCACACTAACAGTGGCGCATCGGTCAGCAGAAACAAGTAACCGCACGCTGTGAGCTGACACTCCAAGAGGAGCACGGCGCTATTGACAACAGGTAAGTTCACTTGCGAGGACGAACACCACCACCTAACGAGAAACCCGTTCCTCGCCAGAGTCGCTCGAAGAGAAAGGCAAGAACGCGGTAGGAAATAGAAAAGCGGGGCTCCACCCGCAGCGGAAACTCAGCACCAGCTCCCCCCTTCCTCCAGCCAGCGCGGGGGCCCGGGGAGCGGCCGGGGATAGCGCACAGGAGGGCACCGAGGCCCGAGGCGCCGGTGGGAGGCGGCGGCCGGCAGCCTCTGCAAGGAGAGCACGGCCCGAGCTCTGAGGGCCGCGACGGGCGTCCCCGGCTGTGCCCAGGGCCCCCCGCCGCCCCCACTCTCCCTCAGGGCGGCGCGACCCGCCCCGCTCGGCGCCCGCGGCTGGCGGAGGCCGGGCCGCCGCCACGTGAGCCCGGCGCGGCCCCGCGCCCACTCACCGTCTTCTTCGCGGCCACCATGCTGCTGCTGCCTCGCGC